TTTTTTTTTGTTTTTTTTTGTTTTTTTTTTTTTTAATTAGGTGCCTTCCACAAGTAAAGGGACTTTTTACTTTTCCTCCTAAATATTTAACATTAAATAAAGCGCTTGGAATATTTGTTACACAATTGATGACTTTATTTCAACCAGTCGCATGCAGACGCAAATCTTTTTCGATAACTTGAATTAATTACTTTAAAACTTAATACAGCACTTCAATTACGAAAATTTTATTCAGTAGTTGGTTGATAAGTTATGATCATTAATCAAATTTTCGATTATTCCTAAGCACTAAATATTTTGAAAGAACGTATTTCGAGGAAATCATTCACATCCATAAATATGCGAACTATGTCCGTGTTTTCCTGTAACATATAAATATTTTAATTATAATTCGTGTGCAAATTCGAAGCAAACACTTTCATGTCTTGAATATTAATACTAAGATTTATATCACACTAATAGTAGAAACGCAAAATAAAAAAGAAATAAACTTTTATAAGAACTAAATAATTTTCGTTACGTAAGAAGTACTAAAGACAAACCTATGCTCACATTACGTGCTTTAAATTCTAAAAATAAACCAGTGATCAGCCGTAAGCCATTAAGTTATGTACTTATCACATTCGTCATAATTAATATATTCCATGAATATATATATATATTGATAAATTTAAAAAAATTTAAGTATAATTTCATTTTATCATTGAAAAATACAAAAAAATATCTGCTCATAAAAATCTATTTAATAACAATATACCTACACAAATAGTGAAAAATAAAATATAATTGAAAAAATACATTTCCAAGGATATTATATTATGGCAGTATAAGTATAATGATTTTTGTCATGCGTACTGCTTTCGTTCTGAAACAGCAAATTTGAGTGAAAGAAAAACTGTGAAAAAGTGTATACATAAACGTATTCCAATAAATATCTTGAGGTGCGTTGATGGCCTCAATCTCCTCTGTCATTTTTCCTTCGCAACATCCCAGTTAACTTCTGTTCTACAACTTCTTCTCCTCTTTGCATTTTACATTGCTCAATGTTTGTCAAGAAAGGCTCAAATCGTTTCATATATCAGAGGTGTGAGTTTTGACGGATATCTTTTGCTTTATCCATTATCGAATGTGACTGAAAACATTTTACGTCGCTTCATGTTTTATAAGAACAAATAAAAGGAAAAAAATTACATATAATACTCAAATTTTACGATTCACTGAGATGAATAATCACCGTATTATTTTAAAAAAGGGTAAAGTTTTTCTGTATTGCTTCCTTTTTGTTAAAAAAAAAAAACAAAAAAAAACAAACAAACAAAACAAACAAAAAAAACAAAAAAAAAATGAATTAATTGTGCTGTACATTACAAAAGTTTTACTTGAATATTTTATGACGTTTTTCATAATATTTCCTTGCAAATTTATTCATTCTGAAGTGCATTTTTTTTCACATTTTATCAACTTATTTAAGAAAATAAAAATTTAAATATCTATATGAATATGAAAATACATTTCAATTATTTAACTTTCAACCATTGATCAAAATTTCGTAGTGATCGTGTTTAACTAGCCTCCATAATTTGCTTTTGTTTGTATTTTGTTTTTAGTTTTTTTTTCTTTTTGAATCTTAAAAGAAAAATCATAAGGGGTATAAAGATTGTTGGATACCAAAATCCAAATACTTCGCGTATATGCTTCCAAAGTTGTTGATTAGATCCCTTCACCTGTGCTTCTACTGTCAAGAGCAAAAGTATACGGCTCTTCGAGTTTGATACGTCGAATATCAAGACTGTTCTTTTTCAAGCGCTTTTTCATTCAATCGGCTGTCGGCGCGCTTGAAGTAGCTTTCATAAATCGCAGAGCAATAAAATAGTGCCCCCAACTTCTCGACAGTGAAGCTTGCCCCTTTCCTTCTTCGTCGCTCTACTACGCATGTCGTAAAATAGGTGAGCTGTAAGGCAAGCCAAGATGAGAGAAAGAAAAGCATAACGTTTGGTATTATGTGAAGTAGTTAACATGTTATATTTAGCATGATAAAGCATATCCACAATACTGAAACCCTTATAAACTGCCAACGCTCTCCCTCTAGATACTAGCTCATGCACATTCGTACCTACTCCACGGTCAGATGCTTCTATACAATGGGGGAAGCCTCCTTCCTTTTTTACATTCCATTCTAGCCCCACTGGCACTGATACCTGATCTCTTACTTTTGCTCTTGCTCTCTCTCTCTCTCTCTCTGTCTCTCTTTGGCGGATGTTGATGTCGCTGCTACATCATGTCTCGAAGGAGGTTTCGCGTGAGTGCTTTGAGAGTTCACGTATATATGTACAAAACCCAAAACTATAAGCTCTCATGAATTCGGCTTAAGTGAAATAGATCTGCGAGTTATTCTCTCTCTCTCTCTCTCTCTATCTATCTATATCTCTCTCTCTCTCTCTCTCTCTCTCTCTCTCTTACTTACTTACATTTGCGATTTTTATAATGCAATGCTAATCCGCGAGATACGTGACGTTATACGTTATTGGAAGCAGGCGCGTGTGAACAGACGTTGTGTAAAAAACTAACTCTTGCTATATATGTGCATTAACGGACGATGTGTCGATGGTAGAGAAAATAATATATGCTTTTATAATATGCTTTAAAAAATATAAAAACGAATGAATAATAAAATGTTTCAGCTAGACTTTATTAACAAGGCTTCGAAAATATCGAGGGAACGATATTGTATTCATATCATTTTGTTATTCAACTTTCTCATGCACAATTTTAAAGCAAATACTAAAGCTACAAATTACTCACCATATAAATAAGTCGTTAATTATATCAACTAATTTATATTTCAATAATATTCTGATGTTCTTTTTTTTCAATACATTTCTGTAAAATATTATGGTAACATTTTATTAATATTGTGAAATTGTATAATAAAAAAATCTTTGTTAGAAACTTGTATTAGAAATATTTAAAAAATATAAATACTTTTTACGATATTATAATATTTTAATAAAATTATGCATATACGATTATGTAGTACTTATTAGTTAATAATTTAATATAAAAGCAATATAATTCTAAATAAATAAGTAAAATTAATCAATGAAGGCGAGTAGCTTAATCGATCATATGCTAATCAATACCTTCTGAGCAAAAACAAGAAATTATATAGAATCATATGAATTCTATAAATTTTATAAAAAGTTTAGACGTTAATATGAGTAAATCTTTAACTTTATCGTATAACTCTGTATCGATTGATAGCTCTATACGGAAGGATATACAATATAAGTAAAAGAAATATCGCGTCAACGGTGCAGTAATGGAACGGTGGTTTTAGGGGCGTGATGGGCCAGAAGCTGTTGGTGCAGGAAGCTCCAGGCGGTGGTTCGACCGGACGCTTGGAATCCGGTTCCGAAGCTTCGGGCGGAGAACTCCATCACTTTCTTCATCAGTACAATCAACAGTCACATAGCCCAGGACAGAGTCTTCAAGGTGGTTTGCCGCTGCCCCTCAGCCCGCAATCGCAGCAGGCTGCCATTGCAGGCGTAAAACGCGAACCTGAGGATTTAAGTTCCTCAAGGGGGGGTCAGCAGTCTAACAAGCGGCACAAGCAGAATCAACAACCTGACAGTCCAACGCCACCTGGTATCTATCACCATCACCAACATCAGCTCCAGGTGACTCATCTATTATACTGTTAGCCTCTTTCTATTTTTCTCTACTTGTCTTCGCACTTTTATACTCCACTTGCATATCAAAACTTATGCGTAATTACGATCACTTAGCTTCCCTATAAATTTTCTATTTCCAGCATTCATCGAGTCTTCTATAAATGTATGCGTTACTGATTATTTAAATTTTCCCAGACATTCTGAGAAATTAAAAATTAAAAATCTTATTCACACAATGAGAGCAACTGCATTTATAATTACTTTAAATTACTATACTCCTGTAGCCGCCTTGTTTCCATTACTAACTTTGATGACTATTTGAATTTGCAAACTTAATTTTATGCAACGTTCGATTGTTTAACAAGCATACAAACATCATTTTACGACGAAATTAGTTAAAAGTTGAAAGAATCTAAAGGCTTCAACGCCTGTAAGATAATATTATTTCTTGAAAATTTTACCATATTAAGCAAGAATGCTTTGATTGACTTGCAGTACGGAAGTCCATATGATCCTTATGGGTCGTGCAGCCCTCGACTGCAAACAAGTTATACGTCAGCCTCGTCGAACAATGGCACTGGTGGCAACGGCTCCAACGGCTCCAATGGCTCGACTGGTCTGCATCCGGAAGCCGGAGCCGTTTACGTAACTGGTGATGCACTGCCACCTCTTGTATCAACTGGTTCGACATCTCTTCCAACCTCCACGGCCTCCTACACGAGGTACGAAGTGGTGCCCAGTTCGTATGCAACCACCCACGCTATCCGCTCGTCTTCGAGCAGCAGCAGCAAAGTACTGACAGTTGACCTGCCCAGTCCGGACTCGGGCATAGGAGCTGATGCAGTCACGCCTAGACAAGATCATCACCAAACGACGGCACTCCATCAGGTTTGCTTCTTCTCTTCCGCCTCTTATTTCTCTTCTTATTTTTTTATATTTTTATGTGTATCATCGTTTTTTTTTCTTGAATTTGAACGTATTTTGGCACTATAATAATGTATTCTCGAAATCAGATGTCGATACGTCAATTCGATTAATCAACGAGTCTACAAGTTTTACATTTAGATATGTAAATAGTTTCGAGCTACAATTTATCATACTTTATATTGTGCATCTTCACTTATGAATAATAAATAGTTATCGATATAGTTCTTCGATCAGCCCTTTACACATAATATTCAGTCTTAGTGTAATTAAGTATAGTTTAAGGTTTATTTTTAATTATTATACTTATAAATGTTCACATTCCAATTTAGTCCAATGAATGATTATTGAGATTCACGTTAACGTTTAATAATGAATTGCTTAATTTTCAGTATTACATTTTTTGTCCGAAATTTATCAAAAATTATGATAAAATCATCTAAAATTCAGAGTAATTAATAACTCTCAATTAAAAAAATCAATTAGAAACCTAAAATATTCTTTTTAAATAATTAATAACTGTTTTATATAACTGTGCTAATAAGAAAATGAAAAATATTATTAAAATCTATTTTTCATCACATTAAGTAAATTTATTTGTCGAAATGTATAAATAAATTATAATAACATTATATATATATAAATTTAAGATAGTTTCATAAATTTTTGATATTGATGATATGATATAAATTTTTTCAGAATCAAAAGAGTAAATAAAAACAAATACATAGAAAAATACATAGATGTTATAGACAAATAAATATAAAAAGATTGCTAAGATTTAATGTCGAATAATTGAAAAGCATATTGCATTCCTAATTATAGGAATATGTCTAACACCATTTACGCGTATTGTTCTTGTATTTATAGAACTAAAATAATATTACTCGAGTCACACTTTCACGTAGTTGCGCCAAGTTACATCTAAAAGTAATCTTTTACGGGAACAGGTTAATGCAGGAAAATCGAGATGTCTATGCCATATTAGCTGCTCGGCTTGAGTGGGAGAGGCAGCGCGAGTAGCCGCTATGGTAGCAACAACGGCAGCAACAACGACAGCAACGACAGTAGTAACGACAGTCGCGGGAGAAAGTCAAATCTTGCGCGAGAATATACACGTAAAGGCACATTAGCAGGAATTTCTTCGCGACCTATCGATCTCCATCGCCGCGCAGATACGAGCGCGATAAGAGCAACGCGCGTCACAGCTTAAGAAATTGAGAGAGAACGTTAAAGTCTTTCATGCTAGCACTATCAGAAAATTTTGCATGAGGAAATGTGTAATATCTATGGCGATCCAATTTTCCAATCATTCGTACATTATTTCTATTTATTAGTTTTATTTTTCGATTTATTTTTAGTCGAAAGTATACGAGGCATAGGAAATAAATTTATTGGCAATTATGAAATATAAATAATCGTTTGTAGGTGAGCATCTCATCATTAAAAAAATCATTGCCTTTAATGCACAATCGATTCTTTATATTACATTTTTAGTTTTTAATGTAATAATAATACTGCCTGAATTTTCACGTGTAGAAAGAGAGAGAGAGAGAGAGAGAGAGAGAGAGAGAGAGAATATATACAAGCTAATATTTTCATTAATTTTGGTATTTGCAGAAATGATAATTGAACTCTTTTAAAATAAAATACTTTGGAAAACATTTTGCAAGGAACGCGACCATAATTAATTGATAATGGCATGTACATCATACTTTTCAAGCATTCAAAGTATTTCAAATTCGTACTTTCGAAGCTACTAAATGTAAAGAGCTGATTTTATTACTCCCATTAAATAAATTATGTACTCGAATGACTACCTGAATGATTATCTTAAGTGCCAATACATATTATTTAATATAGAATAATAGAGCGAGTAATTTGAGTTCAATAATGAATGGGATTATATTGTATGACCCACAGTCGTCCTTCGATTATACGGAATTATGTTCGGGTGGAGCGGGATCAGGCACTGCTGTCGTCCTCGAGAGTGGAGCTGTTATTCATCATCAACCACTTCAGCTGCAGCTCCAACAAGGCCATGCACCCGCAGCTCAAATACAACGAGACGGTAGCGGCCTCGTCACCACGGGCGCCACAACCCCAAACTCTAACCCTAATCCGCCGAGATCCCGACCCTGGCACGACTTTGGCCGACAAAACGATGCCGATAAAATTCAGATTCCAAAACTGTAAGTATTTTCTCATTTTTCTTTTATACATTCTTATACCTCCTATTACTTATTCCATTTTTCTCTCGTTTATTATTTTTTTATATTATATATTTCTCCTATTATTCTTACTCTCTTACATTCGTATACTTCTTATTCGCCTCTCCTAATGTGTTTGATGAATAAAATTATAAATATCTCGAATATTATACTTTTTCCCATCAAGTTAACTAGACGCATCGGTGCATAATTTTAATAATATAACAAAAAGTTAATAATAATAGAAGATAAATGTATCTATATCATTTAGTGGCTAAATGAATAAATAGTCGATAGGAATGAATTTTGATTAAATAATATAGACATTTTTTCATACAAAATATGTTAGAAAAAAAATGGTTATTTACTTACAAATAATTTGATTTCTTTGTTTTAATTATCGATAGTCTCTATAATTCATTGATTTAGTAATTAATTTTAGTCATTATAAATGAGTAAACGCTAGCAATAGAAGATAATAAATTCAATGAGGCAAAATAAGATAAAATTAGAAGTATATTAATTAAAAGAAAATTTGTCCAGAAGCCGCGGCGATAAATTTTAATAATAACAATAAAGTTTATCAAAACTAAAGAAATAAAAAAGAATGTATTGATGACGAAAAATGTAGCTATGGCCCTATGAACGTACATAAATTACAAATAAAAAAAAAATTGATTACCATTCCGTCTAAATAGTATTATTTAGAAATAAAGAAAATATTTATTAATCTATGCTCATAATTATTATGTAATAAATACAAACTTATATGTGATTTTTCACAATACCTGATTTTTCAATATTCTACTCAAATATTATTTTTATTAAATTGTGCAAGTTTTGATGTAAAAATGTTCAAATAATGTAATGTTTACAATCTTATTCATAACAATTGATTATTCTTTTTCTCCTTATTTTTAATTAAATTTATAATAATTATTATTATCAGTATCATTATTAGTAATAGCAATAGTAATATAAGACATTTATTTATTGTTAATAATATCTAACTTATATATATTGTAAGCGCTTGTAGAAAATTTGATTTTTTTTTCTTTTTTTACGTATATGAGTTTTAAAAGTAGAATTAACTAGATCGTTTCTTATAAAGTATATAATTACGCAAATGAGGGTTAGCGAAGTTATTTAAAACTTTAGAATATCTACAATATTAAGTAAAAGCGCAAACTAAACTTTCTATAATCTCCATTAGAGTCGGAAAAGGCAAAAATTTTACGATCTAATATTCTTGACTTAATCCGTAGAATTCCATAAAAATGTAAACGTAGAGGAAACAATCTAAAGCAGTATGCATAATCGTACTAGAAGCCATGCAAAGACCGAGGGTAAATGGAGAATAGCGAAAAAGAAAGAGAAAAAAAATGAAAGCCGGCGGACGCCGTATCAGGCACGAAATCGCAAATTCAATTTTTAATGTATCGCGATCAGACATCTCGTTCATAATCTGCGTTTGGACTCGGTGCTCAAGAGAACTTTTCACCATTCGCTTGCGGGAACACAAAAATGAAAAACGTGAACGCAATTTCGATTAAGCTCGACACGGTTTTATTCTCGCGAGAAACGTACAACTCGCGCGACACGTGAAATCGCGAAACGCTGCGTGCCTATCTTATATACACACATTTTCGTTTCTTATATACTCACTCGACAATCTGCATGGATATGTGTAAGTCCATTTGCATACAAGTCAGTTCATGTGTGCGCGTAGAAGTGTTATAATAATAAGTTGAAATAGGTAGGCGGCGCAAACGCAAGCATGAGCGCACAGGACGTTCACCCGCGACTTTAACTACTATATAGTTATCCTTGTGCCGTGTTTTCTCTCTCTTTTTTTCGCATATGCATAAGCCTGTCCGTAGTCATCTTTTAAAAAAAATCGCCTTCACTTATTCATTGTTCTTATTGATCGTTCTTAAAGAATGCGACGGAAATTTGTTAAACTATCTATAACCATCAAGATGTTTGTGTACGCCTGCACACACGCTCGCGCGCGCGCGCATAAGATTATAATTTATGTATAGAGTATAATATTTTATATAGTATAAAATATTATCTTCATATTTTTAATACGTACATTTAAAAACTACTTTAACTGCAAAATATGGCTTTTTTGTTTATGTATCTAAAGGCGTCGTATTAGATTTGTTACGCTTAAAATACTATCGGTTGGATAGGTGGAAAAATATAAGTAAAGTACTTAATGTTAACGATAGCCTGATAAAGACATTCACTTCCTTTGGATAAAAAAAAAACGTTAATTTGTCTTTTTGTTTTTGTGAGACCTTCAGATAAATGAATTTCCTGAGATAAATGCTTTGGAATATCGATTAAACAACTTGATTAACAAGCAAATATCATCTTTCACATTTGAAAGTAGAATATAATAAATAATCTTTTCTTAACCTTAGTCTTAAATATATACTAGAAATTTATTTAAAAATAATAATAGAATTGAGAAACATTAGGTATTAATAAGGTATTTAATAAATATAATAAAATAGTAAATATATTCTAGCTAACGATATATTTTTATTAAACTATAAAGTAAACAAAACTTGCCAAGTATACATTATAGATTGTAAAATCATATCTGATAATAAAGACATAGTAAAATTTTTAATTAAGTATCATCTGTTTTAATCTATATCAATCTTACTGTCGCGAATAAAACATAAACTCGTGTCGCTGAAAAGAGTTGGAAAAAGTCATAGCTGCAAAAAGTGCATGAAAATGGAATGACAAGCGCCGCTAAGGTAAATGACAATTGTCAATGAGGTCTGAAAAAAGTAGCCCTGACAGTTACGAACTTTCCTTTCAAGTTTTTCAATGGCACGCCCAGTAGTGCTCCTCTCTAACGATTCCTCCATCAATCGATTTCTCAATCGACAAAAATGTGCGTACCAAATCCTCTTGGGATCTTGCGAAAGTCATTAATGATCTTTGTCCTTATTCGTTTGCATCTCTTTTCTTGATGTGCCTCCAGCTATTCGGCTTACGGCTTCAAATATCACTTGGAGTCACCCATCAGCACCTCACAACGCCGCGAGGATGACAGGATAACCTACATTAACAAGGGCCAGTTCTATGGCATTACACTGGACTACGTACCGGATCCGGATAAACCTCTCCTAAAATCAGGACAAACCGTCAAGGTAAAAAGAATAATCCCCTCCAGCGAGAAAGCGACATTCGCTTTTTGTCCTCGTCTATGTATTCGCATATTGCGTTCGAATCAACTTTTATCTGGACCCAGTATTCTTTAAAATCCAATCCTATTCGTAAATATATCGTTTACATTCCTAACAAGTGTCTAATGATTTAATAAAAAAACAATATCCACTTATCAAAATAATTGTTGAATTGAATGTAATAGATTAGCTTACAATGAGTTTTTATTTAAGCAATATTTTTTGGCATTAGCCCGCCTATAATTAAATTCGTACATCATTGAGCAATAAAAAATTACTTTTACGTGAGTTACTTTACCTTAACGCATTCCTGTATGTTATTAATTCATTTTAGAGCAGACACTGATACGTATTAAAAAAAAAAAAGGAATTTCGATTAATCGGGAAGATAGTCCAATATATGCATGAGATTAAAGTTTAACTAATTACCGAACATAATTTTATTTTAAAAAATTTTAGTATTTTAATATTGTTGTAAAAGTGAGGAATTTTTTTTTAATAAAACTTGATAGAATTTATTCTCAATTTGCAAAATGTTCAAAATGTTCAAATTATTTTGAAAATTAGTTACTACGCGTACTTGTGGTAACAATTATTCATAAGATCTTAATGGCAGGCGCCATCGCAAAATTATAAAAGTATAAAATTATACAAAGTATAAAAGTAAGAAATCATATCATTATTCTTTATTTAACCTGAGTTTTGTTTTTGTTTTTTGTTTATATATATATATATATATATATATATATATATATATATATATATATATATATATATATATAGAGAGAGAGAGAGAGAGAGAGAGAGAGAGAGAGAGAGAGAGAGAGTAATGTGATATTAGGTAAATATAGAGAATGAAATATTAAAATATATGCTCTCGTGTCGTATTATTTAGGAATCGAGAAAGAAAAGTACGATACTCGTTTTCATAAAGACAAAAACATAGAAACAGATTTCTCCAATCATACATGGACGAGTACAGTGTAACTCTCACGGCTTTAACAATTCAAATGGTCCCGCCTTTTTGTGGCACATAGCAGCTAGAAATTTAATGCGTATGTAAGATTGGTTGCACGAGAAAAGAACATAGGTGTTTTCATCGCTGTTCGAACGGGGCACGAAGGGGGAGAGAAAAAGGCACGGAATGAGGTCGTTTGTTCTCGCGACTCACGAGCAACTTTAATTGGCGGCTAAATACCGCACCGTTAGCAATTTCCATTGCGATAAAGCTTGGGTGCGACATTTTTCCCCGATTACGAGTTTGAGCAGTTTTCTTTCCAAGTCCCACCACTCTGATTTGCTCCCGCATGCTACCAAAGCTACATTATATCAACTCGGAAGAAGGGAGCGCTAGATTGACCGGATGTTTACGAAGTTTCACTACACTCGCACGCCCCTTTATGACAACAGATTTTTAAAGACTCGCGTTTTCTTATGTTTTTAATTATTCTATTATTACTGTTTTTTTTATTGTCCGATTTCAATGTTAATGCTATTATTACTTTATCGTTCGAATATGTTAATCGATGCATTTTCCGCTCATCGCTTAATGTGAAAATTACTGATAATATAGCATCAGCATGCGCTATGTGATATATATCTTAAAATTTGAAAGTCTTTGGAAGATTTTATTACGCGTAAAGTCTAACGATATCTACCCTTACTATCTCATCTTATATATAATATCATTTTTCTCTAATAATTGCACTTACGTAGTTTAAATTTCAATGCAACCTATGTTTTTTCGATGATTTTGTAAATAATCTTGAATCGCGTATTTTCCTACTCGAGCGATCAGTTGAAAACTTATAATACACTGTCGAAGCTGATAAATACGTTGATACTCGATTATTCAATTAAATTTTCCGTGTCATCCGCTTTATCAGCGTTGGGCGTTCAATCAAGCGACACAGTCGAAGACACAAGGAATCGAGTCGTTTGCCGTCCGCAGAAATATCCGGGAAACGACGCCGATGGATCGGATTGTTCAATAGACTAAAAAAACGAAGAAGAAAAAAGAAAAGAAAAGGAGAAAATAAATGAAAAGAGGAAGAAAGAAAGAAAGACAAAAAATCGATACCAGTAGTCTATCGGCACTCGCATACTCAATAGCCTCGGGTGCGGCATAGTGCGACGGTTACACGATACTCAGGGATCTCTCGAGCAAGCGAGCGACGGTCGAGAGAACGGTCGAGGCAAGGAAAGATGTCACCGCGACGGCGAACGTTGCGACTCTTGTCTCGCGATAGTGCCTCAACGCCATGCGTGCGAAATATTCGCTTTGCACTTTTTTTTCTTTTATCGTTTCTTTTTTTTTCCATTGGATCGGCTTTGAAGAAAACAAGACCAAGTTTCTTAATACCTTCCTTTTACCTCTGCTTAATCTGCGAACGTTCGCCTCCCTTTTTGCGCTATTTCATATTGAGTTAAAATTGAAGTCGGCCAGGCGGCTTTATCATCCATTGCCGTTTCATAAATAGTACCTGCATGTACGCAATAAGAGCATCATTAAGATTACGGTGATTCAGACCAAATGCCTCGCAAATAATGCGAGGCATTTATAATGCAGGAAATAACACGTGACACTCTTTATTTGAGTCGTTCATTGATAAGTAAAGTGAGGATTTAAACGAGCCCTGACCGATGGTTCACGGCCAAAAGCAACGACGAACTTAGTCGTTTAAGATGTCGCATAAAATTATGAAAATAAAATCTATGAAGGGACCGGCTTGCGATCGGCGACTAGCTCAGGCCGAATTGAAATAATCTCTCGGTATCGTTCGTTAGACAGGCAGTAAAACAAATTTTGCTTTCCATCTCAGAGCGTGGTTATGTTGATGTTCCGTGAGGAGAAGAGCCCGGAAGACGAGATCAAGGCGTGGCAGTTCTGGCACGGCAGGCAACATTCTGTGAAGCAACGTATTCTTGACGCAGGTAAGAAAGAGATAAAATACGCTAGACCATCTATGGGACGTTATATATGTAACTCGATGAATGTATAATTCGCGGATAAAAAGTGGGGGTAACTACTCGCGACTGTTATACTAAGGCAAATACATTGTGAGCCATACATAATGAACGTCTTATTAATCTTAAATACTCTTTTACTCGTTTGCTTAAGCATTCGTGATCTGCCATGGAGGTGGACGTACCTTAAATGGGTAAGAAGGGATAATTTAGTTATTATTAGATTATATTATATGTCATTATTGGCTTTGCTTATCAAGATTATTTATTAATTCAGAAATGCTTTTTAATTGTGATTTTATTTAAAATTTTTTTAATTTTATTTAAATTACCACGGCATTTCCTGACTTTATTTTCATCCATCCTTAAAAACACAATTAGTATAAGGATATTTTCTTTGCCTCCCGATCATGATAAAAGAACGTCAATTAAAAACTTCATATTGGAATATTATTTGAATTTTTATTTTTAACCGCAAAAATTAAGTTTTTTTCTTCATCTTCTTCATTCTCTTCCTTTTTAAGCAAATTACAATTTAATTTTCATCAGTTTTTCATAAATGATTAATTAGAAACTTGTCTGTATAAATAACGGTATTATAATTAATTAAAGTAATTACTTTAATAATTATAATACGTAGATAGAATACCGAGCTTAAGAATAAATACGAAAAATTAACAAATAATATTAAGCTGATAAAATTTCTTTTGAAAAGTCTATGATCAAGAATCATTTTCGGTAAAATGATTACCATTATTATTTTATCGTATACTTGTTCTTTGACGATACTCAAAATTTATCGTATTTATTGCCTATTAGAGAGGCTTTCTCAAATAACTTTCACAATATAAAAGAAATAAATGAATAAATAAAATAGAAATAAATATATAATGTAAGGTATTTAATTTATAATAAATATATTGGACTTCGTAGACACAAAAAACAGCGTAGGCCTTGTGGGTTGCATAGAGGAGGTGGCACACAATGCAATAGCTGTTTATTGGAATCCACTCGAATCGTCGGCCAAGGTAAGAGAAAAAAAAAGCTTTTATTGTTTTACTTAGTCGATAATATGCGATATTTTTTCAATTTACCACGAGATATTTATTTGTAGATAAACGTAGCCGTACAGTGCCTTAGCACAGATTTTTCCAGTCAAAAGGGAGTAAAAGGTTTGCCTCTTCATATACAAGTTGACACATACGAAGAGCCACCACCACATACTCATGCCTACACACCACCATCTCATCGAGGTTACTGTCAAATCAAAGTCTTTTGTGATAAGGTGAGCCATCTTTTCTCTTATACAATTTCAATAAAAATCGAAGGCAATTCAATCTGTACCGATCAAAGTATAATTTAAACGTGAAAATTGGTATATTAATACATAATTTCATACAAAATTTGATCACATAATCATCATATAATTATGTCCACAAATTTCTATCGCATTAGATAAAATAATATCATTAATTTATTTCCTTTATTAATTTTCTTCGGAAAATGGATATTTTTGCATTTGAAATGTATTTTTATATCGTTAAATCATAAACGATTTCAGGGAGCCGAGAGAAAAACACGTGACGAAGAGAGAAGGGCAGCGAAAAGAAAAATGACAGCAACTGGACGCAAAAAGCTAGATGAACTTTATCATTCCGTAACTGAAAGAAGCGAGTTTTATTCGATGGCCGATCTCCATAAGCCGCCTGTACTCTTTTCACCTCCGGCCGAACATGCAATCGATAAGGTGAATGCACCTTATAATAAATTTTCATCACTTTCGAGTTTATAGTTAATTAATGTCAATTGTTGAAAAAATTATTTGGCTATATAGATATAGATATATATATATATATGGTTTTGTCGATACTGTTGACCTACTATAGACGAACGAAGAAACAAGTCATCAACTTAAACTTTAACACCACCGATTTCCTTACAGTTCTCGACGATGGAATTATCAGGATTTTACGGGGGCGGCGGAGGTGGCGGGGGCGGTGGCGAAACTGACAGCTCGTCACTGAGCAATGGCGAGGCCGGCGGTGGACTTAAAGGCAGTGCCGGAGGCAGTCCTTATGCACAACAGCCGGGAACTGGAGCCCGGGCAAGTTTGCCTGCCCTCAAGTTCCACAACCACTTTCCGCCCGATAACCTAAGTGTGATCCACGACAAAAAAGATTCACTGCTAATGCAGGTGCAGGAGCTTCAGGGCTCGGTGCTACAAAATGTACAGCCAAGCCTCGGAGCCGGTCAGCTCGTCACCGGCACTCTAGGCAATAGGCTTCACATGCAGCCCCACATGCGCTCAGCCGATGTGGAGGAGAGGGTGATGCTCTACGTACGGCAAGAGTCCGAGGATGTATACACACCGCTCCATGTAACGCCACCTAGCGTCCAAGGACTCCGCAATGCTGTAAGACATTCTCATTGTAGCTTATTAACTAATCGCTTTTATTTTCAAATCCTCTCAATTTTAACATCGCCTTCATTTAAAGAATTTTTTTATAGTCGGCTTTGCTCACTTTTTATCGACATTCTTGCACCGAACATTTTAAAGACTTTCACTTGAGACCAACCAAATTACTAATACCTTAAAATTTTCGACATTATCGTTCACTTTTTGTGCTTATCGATACACTCGACATTCCTCCAAACACCATACCTTCCTCGGTTCTTCATTAATATTTTAATCATTATATTAAACATCTATAATTACAAAACTCACAAATACATCACTATAATAATCATTATCGTCATTATTATTATTTTTATATTTATCATCATCATAATTGTCGTCGTCGTCGTCGTCGTCCTCTTACTTCTCCTCCACCTCCTCATCCCTGCCCTCCTCCTCATTATCATAATAATCATTATCATCATCATCATCATCATCATCATCATCATCATCATCATCGTCATAATCATAGTCATTGTTATCATCATTATTACCATTATTATTATTTTAATTACTAGTAATATAAAGTATAAAACCGAGAGCCTCTCTTTCTACGATGGCTATATCTGAATTTTATAAGGCAGCCTGTGAACGCTGAAATATCTTTTCAAATATCTCTTCTTGAAAGACGCGAATCTTTTTTTTTTTTTAAATTTTCATATATTTTCAATTTCTATTATATATAATGTATTCAATTGGCACATCAATTTCCTTACGTTATGACCCGATCATATCTTCAGATGAATGAATTGTATGCAAGTACTGAATTATAAAATAAAAATAATATTTATAGACAAAGAAATGAAATAAAAAATTATTTACCATAATTAAATTCATTGCTTATATATTGAATATATCGATCAATTTAATATCAGTGTATTCATTTTTAATATTCTCTTATTGAATATGTATATACAATTATATGTTCTTTCGAGATGTTTTGAGGAATAATTAATCATACAACAATTTGGACTAAGGTAATTTAAAAGATAATTTAAAAGATAATAAAAGATATTCTTTAAAACTTAATACAATACTTTTACTAATTATCAAGTCGTCTATTCTTTTCTATTATTTTTTCTTTTCTTCGGATACAATTATACACCGTTTTCATATACAATTTATAATCCATAAGCATTATAAAAATAAATTTCATAATTTCAATTATGTTTCATTCATACACTCAGTATACATATCAATTGATTAAATAAAGTAATAAATTCAACTATATTTTTTTAATAAAATGCTTACAACGAAAAAATAAAAAATGATAAAATACATGTTTTCTTTCACTCGCCCAAATATTTGTAATTTTTAATAACAATAATACATTGCGTCTAGTATGACATTTAAACAGTTACGTATTTTCACTAAACTTATGTAATTTTAAGCTAAAGCACTACTTCTAAGGATTTTCAACAATATACGATAATGATAAGCATACAAAACTTTGCTATATTTAGAAATAGTGCTTCAATTTTATTTGTATTTAAATTTTCTTTTACTTTTGTTAGGTTAAAAAATGTGGGGCCTCAACTTTTCAATTGAATAGCAGTTTACTTTTACTTTCTTACTTGATATATTCTTTATTTAAGTTTCTGTTTTATCAGAAGAGTCCTATCATTTGAAGGGACGGGTCATCAAAACTTTTATCGATTACTTATACTTTTTAAATTTAATTCAATAATAGCTTGTAAAAAGTCATAAAGGAAACTGCTTAATATACTCTGCACAGGGAACTTCAGGGCCTTATATCGGTGTCTGATGTATTCTTCAGATCTTTCAACGCAGAACATTTAGGTAATTTCCTTTATGATTTATTTACAGATATTGTTTTAATAAATTAACACGAAATATTTCTAACTTTTCATTGGTATTAACATTATGATATCATAGGATTTAAGGATTCTTTTTTTTTTTTAATATACGTGTATAAACAGTTAATAATCCCCTTTGGTTCTCGTAAATTCTCTTTAAAATTAACCAATACATTTTTTTTTAATACGTATTAAATTATTCGGGTTTTTAATAAATTATTTATACTTATATTTATATATTTATACATACTTATATAAATTTATACTTAAAAATTTGTCTAATTATACATTTCTTTACTGATATTATTATTTTATTTGGAGAAGCTTATATTTAACGCCATAGTAAATATGTGTCGCGCAACAGAATCAAACGATTCAAACAAAGTATATAATAATACGTTTCCTCGCTGAATATTCTCTTACATAATATACATTATTTTATCATAATCTGTCATTAATTTAATCATTATAATTTAATTAAACAAATAATAATACGCATGTAATTATCCGCGTAAAATTTATTGACATCACACATATCCTTTAATAAGTCAACTGACAAGGTAAAGAGTACAATAATAATACAAATTCTAATATTTGTTTTTTTTTTCTATTTTACAGATCGAGTCAAAGTACAAAATTGCATCTTCGAGTATTAATAATCTCTATCGCAAAAACACAAAGGGGTAAGTTTCCTAGTGTTTGTAATATCTATTATGCATGTTCACCTAGTTATTTTCAATCTTTATATATACTCATCATGCATCAGATACTTCACGTTGTACTTTATTTATTTCTACAACTTTATATGTATATATATATATATATATATATATATATATATATATATATATTACTGTGAATAATTCTCTATTTCTCCGTTCACTCCCTCCCTCTATCCCACTCACTCTCACTCCGTATCTATCTATCTATCTCTTTTACTTTCTTTTTCAATATATTTTTTTAATTTTATGTTAATAACTTTAATTCATTAATTACTAATTATTATTGTCTTTGTTATTGCTAAACTTCTCTAAATGCTTTTTTATTGTTAATTATTGAATTGATGCTAATGTTTCTATATGCATAGCCGTATAATTCATTTATATAATAATTATTAGTGAATTATTATGAAAACATGAAATTTCTTATTATTATCAATTATATAACAATTTATACAATCATATGTACAACATGCTTCAAGATTTTTTTAATACTGAAAAATTATATATTTTAATAGATTTAGTATTATTCTACTTTTATAAATACTCTTAGATACCATTTAGGTATTCGCTTACTCTATATAATACCTGCATACTCATATTAATAAACAAAAATATATGTTTCTACGTATTTTCAAAGCCTAATATATGGAGTTTAATTATGATGTTGAAGAATGTATAATAATTACAATAAATTTAATATCAAATAGAAATATTTCTTTAAAAATATTTATACCAAAAAAAGAAATAATAATTTAATATTCTCATTTATATTAACTGCATGTTCTAATTGTATGTTCAAATAACTATTATTAAGTTATAACGTACATAAAATAATTATTTAATTTTATTCATAAATATATATCTCTCTAACGTTAGAACCGCATATTCAATACTTCTGCTATTGATAATACATAGATACTTTAATGTATTCATAATTCGTTTATCATTAATTTTTTTACAGTTATAAGGTACTTTGTAGAAGTGAAGATGATTAAAGAATAACATTTTTCTATAATTGGGAATTATTTCGTAGAAGATATAAACAACAACAAAATTATATTTACAGGAATTGCAATTATAATTAATAAAAAGTAATAATAGGAAACGTACGTTAGCACTCAAAATGATTATATTTTGTAAGTTTGGTTTAATAAAGATAAATTAGAATTTAATATCCAATTATTTAATCTATCAAATTTGATTTATCAAGTCAATTATTTATCAAATTCAATTATTTATTAACATAAGTTATATAATTTTCGAAAAACTTTAATCAGAGTTATTGATTTTTACTGTTGAGTTTCATACAGATTATATTTTTATTTAATTATTTAAAGTGTTCGTGTACAAAAAAATTTATAATGCAAGATTGTTGCTTAATACCTATTCAAAATACTTACCGATGCTACTGGTAACTGACTGTTCCACGTTACATTTTATATTATAATTATATTATATTTAGCATTTCTCTCGTAGTAGTTACACGATAGGCTATCATATTTAATTTAAATATTATCTTATAAGATATGTGAATTTGTTATAGAATAGTGTAGTGAATTTATAATATTATCTGTTCGCTTGTTTGGACGACTAGAATTACAGCGAAAATTGACGATGACATGATTCGATACTATGTGGACGAGGACCTCTTCATTCTGGAAGTGTCACACTCGCGGCTATCGGCCGAGCAGCAGCAAGAGCGATCGAATCGAAATGCTGGCGGCTCGCCCTCGGATCCTGCTGACGGTCTTGAGCCAGGATATGACGTTACCCTCATCGAAATGCCTATCAACTCCCAGCAGTCGATGACTTCGGTCTCGCCGCACCAGGCAACCGTTGTGCAGCATCACGTTGCCGCCACGTGAACAGATTTTGCAACGCATTTACATCACAATTTTCATGAGGATTTTGAATTTGTAATTATGTCACTTGGAAAATGACAAATAAGAAACAGATAAAGAAAAAAGATTTAAGATCTTTTAGTGCTCTAGAGTTAATAAAGTGAGATTTGATGAGCACGTCCCATTACGTGCATTAAAAGGACTTCTTTTGGCTGTTTACGTTTTACTTAATACGTGATTGCGAGGAACACTTAGTTGGATTAGTTAAATCGTTTCTGAATTAAAGACTATATGTAATGTAAGAGTACTAGTTGCTGTGTATTTTTAATACTGTAGCTTATTTTCTTATTTCGTAACAAAACAAGCAATTAACTAAAAATACAATAATTTATATAGTTATTCTTTATGTAAGATTAATTAATAGCAGCTAAAATTACTCTAGGTAACATTGATTAATTTTATTATCATTATTTTATTGTAAAAATTATTAAGAAACGATATACTTTTACGAAAGTAATATTATTCCGTTATAAAATGATATCACATTTATAGATGTTTAATACTTTTTCAATCCTTCATTTTCTTAATATTTCATAGTATACCTAGATATACTCGATCTTAGTATAAGATTACGAGCACTTTGTCAAAGTAACGAAAATTTTATTTTATCGATGTAACAAGACTCTGTGACCATCATAATATTTTATTAAGGGTAAAAATAAATATTTCTTTATGTACAACGTTAAATACACCTACCGTACTGTGTATTCTTTGTTTTATTATTATTTTCATATATCAATATTACTATTATTACATTTATTATTACTTCTTTTACTACTACTACTACTACTACTACTACTACTACTACTACTACTACTACTACTACTACTACTACTACTACTACTACTACTACTACTACTACTACTACTACTACTACTACTACTACTACTACTACTACTACTACTACTACTACTACTACTACTACTACTACTACTACTACTACTACTACTACTACTACTACTACTACTACTACTACTACTACTACTACTACTACTACTACTACTACTACTACTACTACTACTACTACTACTACTACTACTACTACTACTACTACTACTACTACTACTACTACTACTACTACTACTACTACTACTACTACTACTACTACTACTACTAATTTTACTATCATTGTCATAAAAAGTGATAGGAGTCATAGTGCTCTTTTATTAATCAAATTATATGATAATATCGAAGCTATCCATTATTTTTCAGTTTCATATTTATTCTTATTAAGCTGCACGTACTACATATATATTGCATACGTGCATTAAGACAATGTAAACTGTGCAGCTAATACGGAATTTATTTTTATTAAATTTACATACAAAATTTAAGTATCTCATATATCAAAGTGCAGGTCTATTGTTACATTATATATGTATACGTATGTTGTATGTATTCTTTAAAGAGAAAAGTTTAACTGCGGTGTTGTGACTTAAACGAAGGTGTAGCGGAATCACCGAAAAAGTAGTATAAATAAGAAATTTATTGTTTGTACGATTATACGCGTGCGCATTTAAATTCCGAGTCTGACTCGAAGTAATTAATATAGATTAAATATATACGTATTCAAAAAGCAAAAATAATATTAATAACAAAAAATATTTTTGAAAAAAGCATAATTTTCCATGTTTGATCGTATAGCGTGCAATTTTTGAAGCGCCGCTTCGAAAATTATTATATATTGTAAAAAATGAAGGCTTTAGCATATTTAAATTTTTAAGATCTTATGAAAAATTGCATCTTATTTCAAATGTATATTCCGTGATTTATCTACATAAGCCTTGCCATAATAGTAAGAGAGGTAAAGAGGTGAATGTGAAAAAACCATAATTATAAAAAATATGAAGTAAATGATTTAATTGATATTTTTAAATAATTAATTTTATTATATAGCACTTATCATTTTTAACAAGACGGAACTTTTCACGTGTAATTGATGTAATCTATTACAACGATACAATTCGTCCGAACGCATATCAAAACAACGATCAAAATACGCTTGTAAAATGCATATTATTCTATTGAGTACTATATTTTGTTACATTTATTATAGTTATTAATATTATAATATTGATTTTATTGATAAAAAAAAGAAAATGAATGTAATGCATATAATGTTGTATTTTGTAGGTAAGGAAAAGAAAAGAGTGCGAAAAATTGGAAAAGAAAATATAGAATAGTAAATGTGAAGAGTGAGCGCAAAGAAAAGAGAGAATGCAAAACAAAAACAAAAAGTGAATAAGATAATTCTCACGCTCGCGAACGTCCATGACATTATTATAAATAATTATATAGACGCGAAAAGCAATTTTTTGGGCCATTTCTCAAAACTCATTTAATTGACAATATTGAAATTCTGGTTTTCATTCTTATTATTAATAATTTTTAAATAAAAATTAAAAAATAATATTCGTGCCACAAGATGACGATATATATGTTTTCTTAGCATCGGTTTTTATACATAAATTTCGTTTTTTTTTTCAACCTCCTGTAAAAGTTGTATTAAAATTTATTTTCGCTCTTAATATACATTATTAATAATTTAAAAACGTAAAATTTATAAATATAGAAAATTAGTTCTTTTGATTTTCATTGCTCTCTCTCTCTCTCTCTCTCTCTCTCTCTCTCTCCACCCACCCACCCCTTCTCTTATCAAAAAAGTATATAAGCATAGAACGACCCCTCAATCATTCCTTTTATTTTCCCTTAGACTTAAAATTTCGTTAGATTGTAAACCTTTACGTAATCTGGATTAGAATTGCATACAGTCCATTGATCGGAAAATTGTGAAAAAGATTTATAAGAAAATTTGTCAAATGTTACGTCGCGACGTCTTGCCATCGTGAGATTGTGCCAGAGGTGATATTATATTATTACGATGTTTATTAAAACAATAAATATTATATTAGTCCGTTTTATAAATTATCAATATATTTTTATTGAATTAAGAATTTCTCCTTCCACCTCCCTTATAAATAATGAATTGTTAATTTATAAATAAAAAGGCATAGACTTTAGATAATTATTTTTAAAAAATAATATATTGATATTGATTTGCGTTAATAAAATTTAATAGAATAAATACTCTTACATTTTATGGGGAATTTAAGTATAAAGCTAATTGCATGTATTGCTAGTGATATTCAAGAAAATTAATCTTTATTTTTAATTTGTATTTTATATTTTTATTTTGATAGATCATAATTAAATACTACTGCGTAATAGTATATAAATACCTAATAATAATTTAAATTGTTTTTTGTTTATTCTTCAAATGCCTAATATTTTTAATACTAATCTTATTATTTATAATTATTTATAACTATTATATATAACATATACCTAGTTGATTTTAATTATCTATTAATATAAACTTTATTATGTGCATAGCATATGGTTTAAAGGTATAACAAAATATTTTTCACAATATAAATATGCTAAATTTATAAATAATTTATTAAAGCAATGACGACATGAAAAATAAAAATATTTATAAGTTCATAGTCCTTAACTAAAGTGTGTGATATAAAAATGTGCTTAATATTAAATTAAATTTTAAGATATTTTTTATTTAAAATTTAATTGAAATCTCTTTTAGATTATAATATATCTATAACTGCACTTTATTTATTCTATTCTACATTTGTTATATTTTTTAAAATAATAAAGATGATTCCAGTTAATTAATTATTTTTGTGCAAATGAACTATGATTAATAATAAGTATAGAGACAATAAATCTTTCTCTTATAATAAGTTCATTTTTATGACTCATCAGTGCTTCTTTATTGAAATTCATACTGCGCATCTTACTATACGTTAAATTCTTTCGATCGAAATTATCCGAAAGATATTTGCTCCAGATTTAAATAAGCAAGTAAATACTTCTAAAATCAATATCTATATTGTTTAATAATTAAGAATATTAACTAATCTGAAGGGCTGTGAGAATAATAATAATAATGATAAAGAATTGTTAAAGCTTATTTAATAGCCATAATTATGATGTAAATATTTTATATTTTAAAGTCGTTCGATATTGAGATTATGATGTAAAATTTTAGTTAATTTTTATTTTTCCCTTTTTTCTTTTAATAAGTTAATGTATAATAAATAATCTTGACAAATTATCTTAAATTGATTACAAATTACGTCACTATTATACATTCGAATTATATTTAATTTTGAAATAATTATTTTTAAAAAACTGGAATAAAATGTTTGAAATTGTCACATAATTGAGACACTATGTATTTTATAGAATGTTTATGGTCACGACAAGTTATGCAGAAATAGCAAAAGTGCGTGACCAATTGAATTGGTGGGAAAAGAGGGAGCAGGTAAGTAAGCCAAAAAAGACTGATCACAATAATGTAAAGCAATGACCTTAACAAGGCCAATGGCCCTAAAGTTCGTACATTAGTTATAAAAGTAAAAATATTTTGACAAATTTCGTAAACAATAATTGAAATAGAGGGTAATAATTTGTAAAATTTGTGTCATTTTTATAATGTCAGCGATATTTATTTGAATATACAAATATAATTTTAATTAGATTATATTATACATTTTAATAACTTGCAGTAATATACACACACATATATATATATATATATATATATATATATAACGTATCTGCACTATCGTAACATATAAAACTCGGATTATCTACAGCAGCTTTACAATAAATAAAATCCCTAATACTAATAATGTTTCATATTTATAATATTCAATATATAATTGTGATTTCATCACGAAGATCAAGAAACAATTTTTTAGACATTGTGTTTATTACTTATTTACTATATAAATATTATCGATAATATCAACCTTAAACAACGCACCATAAAAATGTAAATAATAATAATAATAATTAATATTATATAAACAATAATGGGATTTATTTCTATAAAAAAGGCCTCTAGTTGTGCTAATTGACATTTAAAACTGAAATATAAATAAAATGCTTGATCACTTTTCTATATTACTATTTTCATTTCCGAGCTCTGTCTATTTCTAATAATATTGAATAAGATACTATTTTTTGTAGAAAAAATTAATTTTTGTATCTGTATATAATAAAATAAGAAAATAAACGTCAATCCATATCCACATTTGCATATACAAAATCATGATTTGTTGAAATGCTAATCATCAATATCCTTTTCACAAACTTTTAAATTCGATGATATTTCTATGAAAATATTCAGCGGTATTATTGTTAAAATTGTAAAGCAATAAAAAATTAAAGCATGTTGTTGTACAATTTTGTTGTACGATCTATTTATGATGAACTATATAATTACTTTTTCATTTGTTTGCCTAATAATTAAAATAACAATTCATAATATTTTATTATTCTATTTCAGAAAACCTATAAGAATATATCACAAGTATAAAATGGACAGAACCGAGTAGTTAATTAAAAAATGAAAAACATTGATGAATACCTTGGTAATTTGTATATATTTCTATTCAAATTATAAGTTACTGCACCAAGTAGTCATCGTATTTAACTTGACAGCTATGTCTTACCTCTTCTCGCTCTCTGTCTCTCTGTCTCTCTCTCTCTCTCTCTCTGACTCCCTTTTTCTCTCCTCCTAGCACGCAAATCTTCTGGATAAGTTCAGGGCCATCTCACAACACAGCCTCTGCTGGCATATCCAAGGTCAATCTTTCGCTCGCTATGTTAATGCCCTCTGCCGACGTGCGACTATCACTGTCTCCTAAGAGATTCGCCTCCATACAAAGAAGATAATCATTCGGTAATACAGTAATTACTTCTATGTGCCGCAAATTTTTAAAGAAAAGCTTTATTAAAGCAAAGCTGTATGAATGTGATTGTCTTTGAAAGAATAATTCTGTGTATCAATAGTATTCGTTTCGTTTACAAGCTTCAGTAATTAGCATAATGTGACAAATAATTCAATATTAAAAAAAAAACAAAAGTTTACAGTCTTCATTTAATTACACAATGCATAAATTATTAATCAAAAATAAGCAACGTCATTCAAATATTCAAGCAAAGAATGAATATTCTTTATTTTGTTTATATAATTTTTGTAATATAAGTCATATTGTAATAATATTATAGGCTTTATTGAGTAAGACTTTATAACTGCAAAAAAAAATTTATTAATTAAATTAATTCAATATTACTTTTAATATATATATATATATATATATATATATATATATATTAATTTAGTATAATACATTATTTCTTATCGTGTCGCATAGTTTTAATTGATATGCTTATAATATGCATAACTTAAAAATCTAAATAATAAATATTATTCCTTGGCTTAAAATTCTTTTAAATTTGAAACTATAATTTAGAATGACTAACAAAAAGTCCAAAGAAAAGGAAATTAACATAAAAAAGTTTATGAGTAAGCCACATACGCTACAAAAACAGTGTTCAGTTCAATATAATCCCGTTACTCTTAACAGTCTACTTCATACCCTCAAAGACCTTAAAAGAGTAAAAAATCAATAGTCATAACCATTTTTTTTTAATTTTTATTATGTTATAACAATACGTTTAAACTAATCAACCATTCTATTGTAAAGATTTAATTTAATAGTAATTCAATATCATATAATAATTCAATATATGTAACTTATATAAATAGTAATTTTTACAGCAATATTAAATTGCCATAAGTAAGTTAATTTACTGAAAATCTATATATGTATTGATATTATATATTCTTAATTTATTACTCTGAAAAATATAATTTGCATAAATGGAGATCTTATTTCTATAAGAAAATTAGGTTAATTGAAATCTATATCAAACCATATTATAAAATTTACTACTCTAAATGACATAAAGATAAATGTAGAGATGTATTCAGGTTATATGTAAGAATAGCAATATAAAGGACATTTTTAAACCTTTATTAGAATGACAAGGAAATTAATTATTTGCATAGGTATGAAATCAGCATAAAAGCAACAGTAATTCTTACCATTATATTATAATTTAAGATATTAGTACAATTTCAATATATATTTATTATACTCTTTTTTTTATTTTAATTTCAAATAATTATATCGTGAACTTCGGTATTATGATGATAAGAGAAAAAAAAGTATTTTTAAAATATATGAAAAAATTATACGAATTATACCTCTCTAATAATAAAATATAAAATACTTCTTAAAATGCATATATCTATTTAATCTTTAATAAAATAAGTTTAATGTTTAATTAAGTAAGTAACTAATTTATTATATAATAAATTAATTTATGTATAAAATATTTTTTATATCTATAAATTATTTATATATAAAAATTAAAAAAAAACTAATTTACTATATAATAAATACTAACTTAATTAATTAAGTACTAAAACAATATAATATGTCATAAATGAAAAATTTTTTTTTAATTTTCACATGTAAACAGTAATAATATATTTAGCAAGTATTAGATTTTTTATTTTTATTTAAATACATCATAATAAACTAAATTTCTACATATGTTACTTATTTAGTTAATTATAATTTTTGTCTAACAATATAAACCAACATTTATCATATAATACATTAGAATTTAACAGAATAATTAAAAAGTAGTATAAATTAATTTATTCATTTATGAATGCATAATTTCTAATTTAAATTTTCTTACATAATTTGTTACTTGAATTACGATTTTATTTAATTTTCAAACTTCTAATATATTAATAAACTAGATAGAAATATGTATTAAATACTCACCTTACTTACGCACATTTAACAAATATTTAACAGTATTTAAAAATGTTAATAATAAAAATATAAAATCGACGAACTATAGTTCAATTCAAGATTCCAAGATTGTAAATCATAGTACATAGTTCGATTAATTTATAAATTATTTACAATTTTTTACAAGGTCATGTATTGTAAGGGCATGTATGTTTGGATGAAATTAGATTTATATTGAGTTTTGATTGTCATTAAAGAAGCCTCGTTTTATGTGCCAAATAAATATTAGATTGAATTTATAGAAAAGTCTACCTGATGTAATTGATTGAAAATTAATGGGATAAATAATTTTTAATTGTTTTGTTAAGTTTCACTCGCAACTTATTATATAATTTTTACCACACGGACATACTACATAGATTTACTCGGTTTAGGCTTAATCCAATGATGATGAAAGAGGGTTTTCTTTAAAGATTTTCAAAATAGCCTTCTAACAGTTTCGAAGTATGTTTATCAGATTAAAAGTACTATCATTTAGAATTCGTTAGTAAAATACGTCACCTTGTAAAACAATAAAAACGTAAAGTCTACGAGAATAAAATTTATTTTTTTTTAATATTATAGTAATGATCAATGGCGAGCAAACATGTAAAAAAGATGTGAAAAATACGAATGAACAAGAGTAGAAAGAGATAAAGAAAAAATCCAAAAAGGAAGAGGAGGATAAGAAAGAGCAGGAGAAGTAGAAGAATGAGTGAGAAAGAGATAAGATGGGGGAAGGGTGAGCCCGTTATAAAGCTGGTGACTCGCGTTTTGGCGACTTAACGCGCGCGCGCACGCGGCAGTAACGACGAACGACGATAACGACGACGACAACAAAGAGACTCTCGCTCTCAGGGTCCCGTTCGAGAGGATAACTTTTTGTTAAAATGTAATTGAAACCATTTACGTGTTGATTTATTAGTGAAAATACAATCTTATTGCATTCTCGTTTTTTAACCAACAAACTAATACATATTTCATTTTTAAGTAGTTTAAGTATACAAGTGCTTCTCTCTTTTTAGACAATTTGGACCATTTGGAAATTTCATACAAAACTGTGAGTTTATGTTTGTGAAGAGTATATTAGGATTAAACTTTTAACGAATCACGATTTTGTAAATGAAGCTCAATTTCATTTCATTAAAATTGAACGGTGAAACTCGATAATAGTTTATACATCATGAGGAAAATAACGACTCTACGGATTGTGTGTTTTCTACTACTTGTGATCGACTATAACAGCGCCGAAATTGAATCTGAGACTGAAGGGTCAAACAATGACTCCGTTATTGTTGAAGGTGAATTTGTTATGTAGATTTTCACTTTATTTCTGAGCCCTTATTAATGAATTCCGTGTAAGAGTAATTTAACGCTTAATTGCCTAACAAATGAAGAATGAAATAATAAACAAGATCGAGTTCATTGGTAGATATTAATAGTACCTAAAAGAATAGAAAGAAATCATTATATTTAACAAAATTTAGTTTTTATTATGTAACATACAAAACACAATATTTTGAATAATAATGAATAACAATAAATATATAAATTACTGCCAGATAATATATAACTCATAAAGTTTATTGGTGCGTGATGACCAAAAACGTTATTATAGATTATCATATTTGTAGAAACACGCATATAAATCTAGCGCGTACTATATACTGCATATGTTGTTCTCCCTAGCAATTCGCCCTCAAAACCACAACAAAATTAATTAATTCTAGTCACAAAGAGCGACCACGGCAATATTAGCAATAGAATGAAGTTTAGAACTATCAATGAGAATAATGATATCGTAAGATCGTCCCGAGTTGTCGGAGAATTCCATTAGGGAACCGGCATGTCTACAGGTATGCAATACGCACAAGCCGGTCAGCGAACTCTTATACATGAGCGCCGCAGCTATGGTATAACGTTAATCGTGCACGATTATTTTCTCTTTGAACAGTACCACCTGGTATGATGCAGCGCCAAATTCTTCTCTTCGCCCATTGCAAATAAATATATCGACAGTTCTTTTCATTTTCTTATACTTATTCCTTTTTTTCTATTTTTTTCTATTTTTTTTCTTTTTTTTTTTCTTTTTTTTGTAACAAAAACTTGTTATTTATTTTTCTTCCTCGTTTCAGTTTGAAACATTTTATAGCGCTATCTTATATAATATGCATACTATACTCTATCTCGTATATCAAAAATTTGATATTTTTATGTGATTTTTTTAGATTAATCGTTGTGTTAATTATAATATTAAATATATAATATATATCTACTAAAAGAAATAAACAGTGCCTTGAAAATACAAGTTTTACTGATTTTAGAATCACGGAAAAATAAATGAATAGCAAATTGTATTGTAATTATAAATATAAAATTATTTGTATTTCTTATCCTAAGAGCTACTTCGGCTATTCTCCTTGTTGAGATCCTTGTTGAGATTCTTATTGAGATAAAAATAAAAATCAAATTCTTCAAATAAAGAAAGCCTTTGATTATATAAAAAGATAAAGTATTTTATAATTAGTCAATGATCAATAGAAAACTAAGTTTCAAGTTTCAACGGAAATATCGATAATCCTTATCGCATCACTTATCGAGCCAGCCGAATCATATACTCGACGTTCAATCAGTAGACATTGAATTAGTCGATTATGATGAAGAGGATGTTAGGAGAAAAAGTAATTACTACGATAGAAGCCAGTATTAAGTAACAATGAAATCTTACAATAATTGCAGCCTTAGCGAATGGCCCGGCGAATCCACTATCGAAGTCGCGGCGTACTTACCGTCAACTTTTTGGTCAACGCGGCCACTGTCTTACGTCGTGTAGGGAAATGCACAACCTTCAAAGAATGCTATCCGTACTTCAAAATTCCGGACCTTGGTGCCCTAGATGGTTGGGTCCTTGGCATTTACGATACTTGCAGCTACACCAAAGACGATGGCAGACTAAGTTTTGGTATTTGTTGTGCCGATCCGCCCATATTGCCACCAATCAGTGAACCAGGTCGACCTATCGTCGAGGCGCCCGACGAACAAAGCGTATGTGCCGAAAGCACCATTGACCTCCATATTTCAACGATGCACCAATCTGAATATTAATTTATTTGTCCAAGATCTTTCGCTAATTTATTTGTATACCGCCTTCATTGTTACTTACTATTTAATTTAAATCAATACATTTTAATAATCTAGTGCAAATATTCATTTTCATTCTCTCTCTCTCTCTCTCTCTCTCTCTCTCTCTCTCTCTCTCTCTCTCTTTACCTACCTACATCGATTTACATATACCTATGTAAGATTAATTATCAATTTCTAAATAGTATACCGATTTAAGTTAGTTATATATCGGTGAATTATAATAGTCTAAACAGTAATAACGATTTAAGCTTTGTTCTGAAAAGTGATTTCGAATTGTTCGATTTAATAGAGCTGTTAAAATTAATTTTACCATTTTTTAATACATCCTTAAAAAATATGTAGACATCATCAAATATCTCATTATTTGTAGTGTATATTATAAATCTTTTGTACCGTACCATTTATAATGGTATTATTTAACAATAAAGCAATTTAAAAATATTTTATATAAGGGTATTCAATTTACAAATATATTATTTATATAATCGTAACTGAAATTTCAATATTACTTTATTTACAATTCACACATGCAATTTTTAATTTTCGAAACTTTTATTAAGTAATAAAATTTAATTTTGCAATAAAGAATACCGTTAACCGTTAAATTACATAAAAAAATTTAAAAAAAGTAAATTATTTATAAATTGTATCTATCAATAAATAAAAATGACCAATCTAATATATCAAACCTTCATTAACATTCATAATTAATGCTCAAATATAACTTATTCGTTGTTTATTTAAAATATGATATCACTTTCTTCTCGTAATAAATAAGATTATTAATTGGATAACAAATTAATTTCACAAAATTTTCCATTACGGTGAGCTAATGAGTTTTACGAATTCAATGCCACTTGTTTTAACAACTTTTTGTAATGAAAACAAATTTAAAAAAAAAATAAAAAATTAAAATAAACTAATGAATGTACGAATTTTTAATTTTTTATTTCTTAAATTATCTAACTGTAATATAATGTAACTGTAATCTAAAGAATATTAAATTCGCGGTATAATTTTTAGTTGTTGGAAAAATAAAATATCCCTGTATTGAATTTCTATATGTTTATAATCCTTTATACATTTACCCGATAAGATAAACAAAATATAATTTTCCTACTTTAATTATTACTAACATCAGTTCTCAGAATGTTAAGAAGTAATTAATTAATTCTAATTTTTTTATGATTATCAAACTAATAATATCGAATATCTACTAGTTTACTGAATATACATATCGACACGTTTCATAACATTACATATTTTGTATATTTAATTAAGATTTATCCGAACAACATACTCATGAATTATCGATGCTTGTCAGTCAAATAATTTGAAAGCTTATGTGCTTTAATTACTAACACAAAGATTTGTGTTTTAATTATTATGCTTATGTATTATATGGAAAAAACACCGATAGTGAAGAATTTTCTTAATACATTTTCAAAACACAGGATAAGGAAAGCGGTACTCGGATTCCTGGTGAAAGTGCGTGGCCGCCACCCTTACCTACTCATCCTCCGTACCATACGATTCCTCCTTTGCCGACTCATCCACCAGGACACGGATATCCGGTCGCAACACCAATTACCAAACCACCGAAAACTTCGGAATCGCCTGGAGCTTCAACTAGCCAGCGACCTGCGACCACCTGGCCGACGAAGAAGCCCAGTAGATTCCCTTCGATTGGAGCTCCGACAAGACCTCCTGTAGATTTCATATCTATAACATCCACACAGTCTACGCATGCCTTCTCGACAACGAATGGTACACCGCCCAGTCAACATCCAACTTCATCCTCACCCACGAACTCCGGTTGCGGTGCCAAAAATGGTGACCAGGACGCCGAGAGGATCGTCGGTGGTCTTACGACACAACTTGGCGAATGGCCTTGGATCGCTGGCCTCTTCAATGCCGGCCGCCATATCTGTGGTGGCTCGCTTATCGACAATAAACACATCCTCACCGCAGCCCATTGCGTCGCTCAGTAAGTTGAAGAAACTTAATTCAGTATCGCAAAATCGTCATAAAGTAAAAATGAACAAGTAAGCTTATCAATCCAAAATCCAATGCTAATATACTCAAGTTCAACTGACACTCTTTTCAACAGTTTCTCTCTTCTCAAGAGCTTTGTCAATATATTTTTCATTTAAGAATTTTCCACCGTGTTTTATCTATAATAATTTTCTGTATGGAATACCACTAGATTAACTCAAGTCTCTTCGTAAAAAACGTATTATAAATTGGCATGGTACAGAAATTAGAAATATATTACTCAAAACAATATTACAAACGTATCTAAATGACATTTTATGAACATTATTAGAGCTGAAACTTAAAAGAAACGCTACTCTATTTAGAATGAATTCCTGGGATGTGGCACGCTTAACAGTCCGACTCGGTGATTACGATATTAAAACACCTCTCGAAGTTCGCCACATTGAAAAACGCGTTAAACGCGTGGTGCGGCATCGGGGCTTCGATATGCGCACCCTTTACAACGATGTTGCAATTCTTACCCTAAACGAACCAATTGAATTCAGTGAAACAGTGCGTCCGGTCTGCCTTCCTTCCGGTGCCAATCTTTATGTTGGCAAAAAAGCAACCGTCATTGGATGGGGTTCGCTTAGAGAGGGTAAGTAGTATATTTTCTCATTATTTTTTATTTTAAAATATATTTTGAAATACTCTCTCTGTCTGTCTATCTCTCTCTCTCTCTCTCTCTCTCTATATATATATATATATATATATATATATATATATATATATATATATATATATAAAGAGTTATGTATAATATAATTCAAAATTTAATTTGACCAATTTTAGAAAATAAAATGCTAAAACAGCATACGTAATCTGTTGATTTTATTTACAAATATTACTTTATTTCAATATATATATATATATATATATATATATATAATATTAATGTTAAATATAATGTTAACAATACAGTTTATCATACAGTTTTTCTTTAAATGTCCATAGAAATTTACAGATTATCATCGTAAAATATACTTTACGATTTTCTTTGATGACTAAACCTTATCACATAATTATTAATGATTAAAAATTATAAATTTTATATACTAATATTATTGTACTAGTACTAATATAATGATATATTACTTAGATTCTACTAATAGATTTGTTATTTGATACTCGGTAAAGCTTTTTTTTTGTTGATAATCTATCATTCTTAACTACCGTTATAATTGTTATTTACAGACAGTTCTATACATATAAACAGTTCTTAGTATATTTACTATTTCATGCAAGAACATAAAATTTTAATAAGCAAAATTGAAATTAATATAACGTAGTTTGTCAAATTTTCTGATTGCATTCTTTCTTGCTCAGCCACTATTGCTATTTCAGAAATTTTATCTATGACTTTATCTTTCCAATTATCGTGAAGAACTTGGCAGTATCTCAAAATTTAGAAGAAATAAAATAATGCAAGTGCATTTATCAATACAAAAATAAAATTACACCCACAGAAAGAGATTAAATAATTAATTGATAAATTAATATAAAATTTCACATTAATTACAGTATTTTAATTTAATCTAAATTTATAATAAGCATATTATTTATTACTTACTCACAAACGTTAAATGACTACTTTCTTATATTGATATACAATAAAACTAAATTCAATACAATGAATCTGTGAAAAGGAATAATTACGTCTCAAATAGAAAAAGTCTAAGGATATAATTTAAAGAGAAATACATAGTTTTAATTTATAATACTGAACTATTAAATTATTTATATTTTAAAAGCTAATTTTACTTTCATAATCATTGATAGAATAACTACAATATTAAACTTCTAAAAGAGCTATTACTTTTTTTTTTTATTTAATTTTCATAATTCGAATGGATTCATGTTAGAAATCTTAATACATAATATTCTTGTAACTTCATTGCCTTAAAGTTTATTATGAGTGAAGAAAATGTAGAGCTTTAATACTATATACAATAACATGTTTTTTCACTTAATTTTTACTATTTTTATTACATGATATTGTAAAAATAATTGTTTGTTCTTCAAAACAATTTTATAAAGCTTGGCGATCCTATAATTATTTTTATATATAAAATTATTATATGTTAATTATATAAAATTCCTATAAAATTATGCTTCAAATGATTTTTTACACTATTATAAAATATAAATATATAATAATACTAATATTGATCTAACATACTACTTAAGAATATTGTTTTTGTTCTAATATAAAAATAGTTTTATATTTGATTATATTGAATTCCTTTGTTAGTCAATAACATATTATTTATTTATAAGTATGACGATAAAAACATTTCCCATAGTAAAATATTATAGGTGGTCCAGCGCCAGGTAAACTGCAACAAGTGAATATTCCAATTTGGTCAAATGCTGTTTGTAAACAGAAGTATGGCGGTGCTGCGCCTGGTGGAATTGTTGAAAGTTTTCTCTGTGCAGGAGAAGCTAGTAGAGACTCTTGTTCCGTACGTAATTATACAACATATAAAGTCTTTTATCAAAAAAATTGCCAACTCAATATTTATTTATTAAATTCTCTATGTTCCAGCGACTAACATTTCGTTCGTTAAAAATAATTTTTGCTAAAATATTAAAAGATTTTAATTACATTTTAATTTCTTTTTAATCTTAGAACAACATCTTAGTTTTATGTTCAACTACTTTTTATTGAAATTCAAAAAAGAGCAATTAAGTATATGAACAATAGATATATAAATTTGTGTGTGAATGATCACACCTGTATTATGGTACTAAGGTTAATAAGGGAAGTTAGCTCAGGTATCAATATGCTATTATTAAACTTAAAAATAAATGATAAATAATTTTTATTTTTCGAAAACATCTGAAATAGATTAAACATTATTTAGAAATAGCTAAATTATTCTACTTTTTTTCTTTTTTTTTTTTTTTTTTTAATAAAAACCATTGAGAAACTCGTAATTATATTTTAAAAATTTTAATTAAAATTTATTTAATGTTTCTTTAAATAGCACATATTTGATTGGACATTATAAATATTATTAATAATGTCCAATTCTCAATTTCTAATTCCTTATTAAAAATTTTTAGGGTGACAGCGGAGGTCCCTTAATGGTGAATGATGGCCGATGGACCCAAGTGGGCATTGTAAGTTGGGGGATAGGCTGCGGTAAGGGTCAATATCCCGGTGTTTACACTCGTGTCACTCACTTTTTACCCTGGATATACAAAAATCTTAAATAATGAGATCTAAAAAAAAATTATGTGCAACAATTTCCCATTCCATTAATAATCACTCTTCCCACCTCACTTTCACACCTCTTCCCCCGGATATATTATCTTTACTCGATACAATCGCAAGCACAGATGTCTTCTTTTCCTTAAACGAACTATATATACAAATATAACGAAACAAAAATAATCTATAAATAAATTAATCATAAATGCAATATTACTAGTTTGTATACCACGTAATTTAAAAGAAAAAACTTTAGTTATTTACGAGTTATATACTGTATTGTTATTCTATGCAATACGCGTGGCATAAATTTAATCAAATTTATCTTTTTTATTTTTGAAGGCATCAAACTGATTTATGTAATATTTATATAATAATCAAAAATATTATAATACTTAATATTACATTGAATAATTTTATTCGTTTTAATTAATTAGTAAAATTTTTTAGAAGTAATGAGACTTTTATTATCTTTGATAAGAATCTTATTACACCTGTAATTATTTTCGAAACGAATTGAAAATTTGAAAGGACTCTTTTCGTACACATAGTTTTGCACATGTCTTATTTTTATTAAAGTACCTCTCGGTACAATTAGACACGTGCGAAATTGAAATTTAGCATAAAGGCTTAACGTATACACTAATATCATTCTTAAATCACATAACAATGATTGTTCTTCATTTTAGTTATTATTGTTAATGTTCTTATCATAATTCTATAGTTGATAAGTCTTGGAACAGCCTTTCGTATTAACTTTATACATACGCTCGTATATAATAATAAAACTAGCGTTAGAAAAATTAAAATCATAATGTACAACGTTGTGTCTAAAATTCCTTTGAGTAAATTCAATGTTCAACAAATTATAGGTCATGTATCACAGCTGCTAACGTTCAGATGTTGTAAGATATTACGAGCTAAAAGAAAAAAAAATATCGTTAAATAAATGGTTAACTCATTTATTTTAATATTTTATGCACTTTTTTATTAATAAAGTATTTATATTATATTTTATAGTTGATAAATATTTCAATTCTCAATAAACGATAAAACAATGATTTTGAAAGTATAATCGCACATTTGCTTACAAACAAATATTAATTATGTATATGAATTATGTATATCGAATTTATTTGGTAAAAGGTACATATAACAATAAATGGTTTGGAATAATTTATTTTATGTAACTCAAGCACATTTTAAGAAAATTTAATAGTAGATTAGAATATCATTTCTTATTAATAAATTGATAAATATTGAGTATATCGAATATTGTGTATTTTTAAAAACTTGATTAAAATTTATTGGAATAGCATACATTAATTCTATTATGTTGTATAAATTTTTATGTATATAAGACAAAAATTTAAACATACACACACAGATGCAAACAGCCAACACACGCGTGTTAATTATATTCGTATACATGCGTTTGTTTTAGAATTGATACACACACACACACACACACACACACACACACACACATATATGAATAAAAAAATTTGGTGGTATACAATTTTACATAATTTTATAATTTAAAAAAATTATCATTTTTAAATACGTTTCTATATTAAAAAGGAGTTGTAATTTTTGTTAAGTTATGAATATTTTGACTTATTATTTCTAAAAACAAATATCGATATTTGATTTTAAACGTAAATGTTGCTTAGTATAATTTAAAAATTTGTTAATAATTAAAATATGCATTATTTTATTAGTATAAAAATATTTTAAACTGACTCCGATAATTTTCAACAGAAATTGTAAAAAGGATTTTTTTTAATTTATTATTTTTTCATATAAATTCTCAATTCTTCATACAATACTTCGAACAATTATCAATACTTTGCATTACCATTTAACTTTTAAAAAATTCAAAGCCTTATCGTCATAAATAATACTCGTATAGCAAAATTTTCTTTTTTAAATTTGAAACAAATTATTTGTATTTCACGTATGATAGTTAATTCATTTTTATAAATAACTATCGTATTCAATCGAAAACATGTCATTATAATATATATATATATATATCAAAAATTAAATATTATAAATTATCATTATAATATATACGCATATCTAAAATAAAATATTTTCAATGTAAATAAATATAGAACAACGTTATATAAACAAATTTGTAATATAAGCTTTTAAGTGATACAAGAGTAAATTTTAAATGTTTACCATGTCTATATGAATGCTTTTTAAATAAAACTTGTTAGATTGTCAAAATTATCCGCTATTTTTCTTTTATCTCGAATATAAAATTTTTTAGTATAAACATCAATTAAAATTTATTGTCTATAACATTATTGACCAAATAAATAAGAGTTTTATATTTTGTGAAATAAATGTATAAATTCAATGTGAAAAATATTGTAAGATAACAAATTTTATGTCACTTGTAAATAAAATCTATGTAAAAAATTCATGCAAATGTTTAATTTAATTAGTGCTCTTTTACAATTAAATTAAATAAAATTCGATAATTGTATTGATTTTAATGGTTTTAAAGATTTAACGTACCTTGAAAGTAGCATGTATCGTAATTATCGTCGGGTTGAGGAACAAAGGGTGGCATAGCCTTGTGCGGCTCATTCCATGGGAACTGCTGGAAGAGTTTCATAGTACGCACTTCCTTGGCTGTCGGGCGCGCAATTTGATCAAGCGTAAGCAAAGCATCAATAGCTTCAATTGCATTCACTGATAAACTCTCCTCACCCTCGGGCCAAGGTACATCTCGAGCAAGGATATTTGTAAATACAGCTTGAGGCGTTTCGTCGTTGAAGGGCGGTACACCCGTGCAGAACTCAAATAGACAAACACCCAATGCCCACAACCATGACCTATGAATAAATCATAAATTAATATTAAATTTGAATTAATTTCTAAAAAGTAAGAATATACGTGCATACCTTCCTTAAAAAGGAATCTAAATAAAAATCTTAAAAAGGAAAATAAAAATCTTATGAAACAAAATTATTTCATTTAATTGGCTAAACAATTAATAACCATCAATTTCCTATTTTATTCAAAAGTATATAATAGCTTTGAGCATTTTATGAAAATCTGTGTGTACATGTAACACTTCGTATTAACACTGTATATTATTCATTTTATTACTATTATCTCATATGATAACTTGTAACTGACCTTGTCGTAGAAGTAATTCTGGAGCTAAATAATCTGGTGTACCAAGAATTCTATCATCTGAACGATTAATACCAGCTTGTGTTCCTCTTCTCACTGATTTTGGCGTTCTGTAGGTTGTAAAATTATTGCCTGAAGAGGCTGGTGTCTTTATAGGAGATATATCCTGTGGTGACCTGTGCTGAACGTGATGTTCAATATTTAAATCTTCGTTTGTAGTATCAGATGTTGTACTAGTGGGTGGCAAATCAAATCTTGTCGTTTTAATAAGTAAAGATTTTTCCTCTTCCTTTTTGAATACAGCTTCGTCATTGCAAAGTCGTTGCTTTGTCGAAGAAACTGGTGTGCTAAATGCTACTCTCGCTGATTCACTGTCTCCCTCCATTTTTGCTGTACCATCTGCTTCCTGGCTTTTATGAATAATCGTCATTGCGGCTGTTGGTGGACTTCTGCAAGTATATGTCTGTCCACAATTCTTTCTCTTCGGGGTTAAATCGCCATCCAAACCGATTAAGCAAATTTCTCGTGTCAAACCTGTGCTTTGCATCAACTGATTTATCCTCTTTCTTTTTGTGCCTCTTACCAAGATATTCTTGCATGTGCTTAGTGGACTAGTATGGTGAGGTAATGGTTGCTGCAGCTGTTGCGATTGTTCAGCCTCAAGAGTCGATTCATCCTCTTCTTCAATTCTGTTGTTGCAATTCTCTGTTGTAGTTAATACCTCTGAGGATGCAGCTGAGGATGATGCCTCACATGTATGATAACTACTAGCTGTTGAACTCTCATTGGAAAATGCTGAGACTCGTATGTCTTCAGCAGATTGAAAAGGTGTCACGCCAGATACATGAGAATAATCACCAGATGGAACACCTGAAGAAATAATTGAATTAGAAGAATTATGATGATTGGCTCTCATTTGAAGCTCAGGCAATAAATCCATTGCAGGATTACTTCTTTCACTAGAGTTTAGAAGATTTGAATTTCCACTTATTGTTGATTTAGCTCCAGAGTCAAATGTTAGATGTGATGTTAGAGAGAGAAGTTGGCCTGGAGTTCGTGCACATAAACTAGGCGTACAGTTAACTAAATCAGAAATCTCAAGATCACGATGTAGAGTTGATATTTTACTCAAACCAAAATCTGTTAATTTAACATGCCCTTCTTTTGAAAGAAGCATATTATCTGGCTTAAGATCTCGATGTACAATTCCATGAGAATGTAGATATTCTAATGCCAAGGAAATTTCAGCTGTGTAAAAGGCAGCCATTGGCTCTTCCATGTAACCATATACTCCCAGTAAACTTTTTAGATCACCTCCAACCATATACTCCATCACTAAATAAATAGTAGTCATAGATTGAAGAGAATAGAAAAGCTGAACACAATAAGGACTCCGAACAAGTGCAAGTGCATTTCTTTCTATTACTACCTGAGATGCCATATTTTTATTAATCATTTCATTTTTTTTCATTACTTTAATAGCATATATATGATCAGGATTAGTTTTCTTATAACCTAGGAACACTTTACCGAATGCTCCTCTACTTATAGGCTTCACTATTTTAAAATCTTGTATTTCTGGTACCTGTAAATAATGCATTAATATAAGATTTGTAAAATTATTCTATAAAATTTGAAATAAAATGTTAAAATAATACTTTGCCTTAGCTGTACGATTAACTATTTTAGAAATAGTATTAAATATGGAGTTATCAATATGTTTAAATTCTGAAGTAGACTGCTGTGGAGTGGTGACTCCATTGCATATATTCTGCTCAGAATCGCTTCCTGATGCATCGTTGACATTAATTGTAGAATCTGAGGAATCCTTATTACTACTTGTTTCAATGATAATAGAACCCAGCATCTTTAGCAGTGATTTCCATTAGTAGATGAAAAATAAATAAACTTTCAATAAAACATTTGCAATGATTTTATAATACATTTATAAACCTTATGATTCCTTACTTTATGATTCATCAAAAAGATTATTCGCATTTCACAAAATACTTCGACTAAGACATGACTAGTTCAATGTTTTGAAATGTTTAAAAACTTTTTCGACGGTTAAGAACTATTGTTTCTTTTTAAATTAAGTCAAATAGCGCTGCAAACAGTTTTGAGCGCGTGCGCTCTTTTAATCTCTAGCAGAGTCGGTTTCATTGGTTAATTGTAAAATGGGCATGTTCGTTTTATTTGTTTTTCTACCTTTGTATATTTTTTTTCAAACAACTTCAGAGCGTTGGAATTTTGACAAGTAGGTAAATTTATTTCATAAATATCATTTATTTTAGTTAAACCTATGTGATACATTTAAAAGTTAAAAGTTTTTAATTTACATAAATTTGTATAAAAATAATGTTATTTATAATGAGATGAAGACATTTTGTAATTCATAAATTCGGATAAATTATTATCTAAGAAACAGCTGCTTTACGTGCAAGTATATGTACACACTTCTTATATGCAAACTCAAAGTATAACCGTCAAAAACTTGAATTTAAAGTCAATATTGCCGAACAATTAATTATTTAAAAACTTTACTAGAGCTTTCTTACCTTAATCATCTTTCGGACATTGTAAAATCGCTTCTCAATCTTCACATAACAAATATAGAACGATTTTTTTAAATATACATTATTGGTATTGATTTATTCATACACTACATTACATTTATTTACAAATTTTCTTTTGTTTAATTATTTATACTAGTAATAACTACATGATAACTGAGTGGAAATATTTTTTTAATTGTTTCTCAACTTAGCACGTCCAGTATCTTTTTTAAAGTGGTTGAAAATTCTGTAGTTGAATTTGTTTACATATTTTAATAACCTCAAAGATGTCCAAAGTATTAATAAAAAAGGCGCCACGAAAAAAAGGGGCTAATGGATACAAATTACCAGATCCTATTCCAAAAGGTGAAATAATGACGGATTTGAAAAAACAGCGTTGGATTATTAGTTCTTCTATTGGTGTTGGTGGGTTTGGAGAAATTTATGCTGGTAACTATGGCTTTAATTATAAATTTACTAAATTATTAATTTTATAAAATATAAAATAATCTGAACATTCATTTTATTATTCTATACTTAGCTGCATCTTACAAAGATAAAATACCTTCTGAATATCCTGCTGTGATTAAAATTGCAAGTAAATTTTTTATTTTTATCTATACCTTTTATTTGTTTACAATAAATAATCATTATAACTTTTTCTAGGAACCACACGGAAATGGTCCCCTGTTTGTTGAAATGCATTTTTATATGCGAAATGCAAATCCAAACGATAGTTAATAATAATATCTATTTGAATTTTAAAAATCATTTAACAGTTTCTTTTAGAATTATAAAACTTAATATTTATTTTAGTTAGTACTTGGAAAAAAGAAAAAAAACTTCAATATCTTGGAATGCCACCATTTCTTGGTTCAGGTAGTCATGAATATAATAATGAAAAATATCGATTTATTGTTATGGAACGTTATGGAACAGATATTTGGACATTGTTTTTGGAAAATGGAAGAAAATTTTCAGAACATACAGTGTATAAAGTAGCTTGGCAAATTGTAACGTAATAAATAATTTAATCATTATTTTGTATTTTAGACAACATTATTTACTTTTTATATTTTTAGATAAATGTGCTGGAGTACATTCATAGCAGAACTTATGTGCATGCTGATATAAAAGGAGCAAACTTATTACTAGATTTGAAAACACAGAATCATGTATTTTTAGTTGATTTTGGTTTAGCATCACATTTTACTACAAAAGAAGAATATAAATTAGATCCAAAAAAAGCCCACAATGGTACTATAGAATACACTAGTAGAGATGCTCATATGGGAGGTAATACATCTTTATTTTTGTTATTTTATAAAATAAAATGATATTTAATAAGATGAATACATAATATTTCAGTACCAACTATGAGAGGGGATTTCGAAATATTACTTTACAATATGATTCAGTGGTTATCTAGCTCTTTACCATGGGAAAAAAATTTAAAAGATTTATCTTTAGTTCAACAACAAAAAGAAAAGGCATTTAACAATGTGCAGAAATTCTTGAATGAATGTTTTATATCTGAACCTCCAGTGCCTATTTGCCAATTTATGTCATTAATAGCTTCCATGAAGTTTAATGAAATTCCAAATTATAATAAATTTAGAGATATAATTGTAAAGGGCTTACAGAAGCTTAATTATACATTAAATAGTAAATTAGAATTTTCTATTAAAAAAACTGACAAGCCATCATCAATGCAAAGGAAATCTAAAGTTAATATTGGTGAAAATAAAAATGTTAATAGAAAATTAAAGTCTGTTTCATCTATCAAAAATGCAAAGGAAACGATAAATTCAACACAAATAAATTCTCTCGACAACAGTATTGATTCAATCATTTTAGATGAAAAATGTATAAGTGGAAAAGATATTAAAAAGCAATTGTTAGCCAATATTGATGGCGATGCTGAATATGAAGTACAAATTAAAAAAAGAAAAGCTAGAATTAACCAGAGAAATGGTGAAACAATAATAAAACCAACCGCAAAAAGAAGTAGAAAAAAATTGACAAAACGAGAAGATATATCTATAACAGATTCCGAACCTGAAGTAAGACAGATATATTTATTATTAATAATTTAAACTCTTAATGTCGAATATATTTTATGATTAATTTGAAATAGGTAATACCAATAACGAAAGGAACAAGATCTCGACCCGGATTTAGAACTTTAAAAAATCATAAAAAAAATGAAACTCATAAACAAATACTAAATGGATCAGAATATGATAGTGAAAAAGATATATTCGAAGAAAGTTATGATGACTAAATTGTATTTAAATATTAAATTGAAAAAAGTAAAATAATTACTTATTTAAAAGTCTTGCGAATATTTTATCGCAATATATATAAAATTTATTGATGAAAATATTTGTTACGATACTTTAGCAGTATTTAATTAATTTAAGCATTAAATATGATGCTATTTTTTAATAAAAACTTTAAGACTCAATATGATTAATCATTTACAAAAAATACTATTTATTTAAATAATAAATATTTTATATCATTAATATTTTTATATCATAAGTATATATATATGCATGTACATTAACACAATTTTTATATAAATTTTTACAGGCATTACTATTTTACTTAATATTAAATATGTATTAAAATTTATAATTATTTTTTGAATTTTTGAATTTGTGGAGCACTAATTTTCACCTTTCCAGGTATATTTCTTGCAATACTTTCATCTTTAACTGATTTTAAAAGATCCTTTTCTCTAAAAGTTATAGACTTATCTTTTAGAAAAATAGCTATTGCAGTTTTAGCAGCCTTTCCTCTTTTACCTGTCCCAGGAGTCAATTTGACTTTAAATCTAAAATATTTTATTAGTACCATAATTTTATGTTTCAACATTTACGTAATTATCAAGGAACTAATTATTTAATTAATTATACTGACTTATAATTCTGCAATGTACTATAAGGAGCAATAACTGGTACAGAAAATAATAATTCATCTTCTTGCATTGGCTTGCCAGTTAATTGCTCTAGCATATCAACTTTGTACAAAGAAGTTATATCTTCATCGTCTAAATCTTCAGTTACTTTTATATCTTGTGATAAGTTAATTTTTGGCAATATTTTTTTTTTTTCTTGCTTTAAACCACATGGATCTTTACTTTTACTTTTTCGTTTATTGTCATTAGAAGGGCCAGCAGACTAGAAATTTATTCAATATCTGAATTAACAAAAATATGAAAAAGAATTTAAAAAATTTACCTGTAAAATTGCCATTAATATTCTTCTATCTTCTTCATCTTGATCTTTATATTTTTCTTTAATTTTCTTAAGTTTTCCTCTTTGCCCTCTTTTTAAAGTTGATTGATATTGTTTTGTTTGTGCATGAATATCTTGGGACAAATTTTCTTTTGGAACATCTTTATTTTGTACATTAGTTAATGAAATAACTTGATCATTATCTGAATGTACCATATCAATATCTGTTTTTATTCTTGTAATTGATTTTGAATCATTTAAATGAAATTTAACTCTAAAATAAATATATTAATATATTATATTAATATACAATAAATATATATATATATATATATATATATATATATATATATATTATTATTATATATATTATAATAATAATAATAATAATAATAATACATAACAAACTTTGGTCCTGATAGATCTAATTTAATATGGGTATCAGACACAAGCAATTTATTTTCATCTTGATCACTATCACAATTGTGTAAGGATGCTCTTTCAAGATCTTCCGTTATTTCTTCACTGATAGTTTGCAAATTTTCTATACTCTGTTTATCTTTATTTAGAAAAATTTTATTTTATTATTATTTTATTATTTTCAAATTAAGCACTGACTTTTAAATTTATTTAAAAATCAAGATATACTTGCCATTGTCGATGTCGTCTTCTAATTCAATTTCATTATATGATTCAACAATGTGATCTAGATCTTCACCTTCATCGATATTTCGAATCCGTCTTTCATGTTTATGCCTTTCAATTGAACTATCTTCTAATCGAAATAGAAATCCTAATCCCATTACTAACTGACATGGAGGTAAATAATTCTTTTTTCCTCGAATCATAAAGGATCCTGTTGTAAGGTATTCTCCAGTTGGAGCTGTTTTGGATACTTGATCACTATTTACCCAATATGCACCAGATATTATTTTCGCCTCCCATGCCATACTAATTTATAACAAATAAATATATACTTTTAATATATATACTTTAAAATATATACTGTTAATTTTCATTTTATTTATATTTAATTTCATTATATTTCCTTTAAAAAAGATGAATATTTTTAAAACAAAAAATATGTAAAGTATACATAGTTTAAATAATTTATACTTTTTAAAATTAAAATAAAATAATTAGATAAAAATATTTTATAAGCGATTTACCTATATGCAACGGCCATTGTTCCAGCTTCAGCTAAAGATTTTGGAGGTATAGGATTTCCATCAGGATTTTTTATCACAACTGAACTTGCACCAATTAAGTCTGCATGAACGTAAATGTCACCACTTCTTAAATATCTTTTTACAACCAATTCATTTTGCTGCTGATCCCTTCCTCCAATAACTAAAACAAGTTAATATGAATATCTTTTATTTTATTTTTTATTTAATAAAGTAGAACAAACCTAAATAATTTTCAGAAGTAATAAACCAATAAAACTTTTCAAACCAATAAATCTTTCTTGCTTTATTTATAGTATGGATTGCTTGTACTTCTTTTAAAGCTTGCTTGGTTTTCTTTTCAGCAGATTTTAAAGCTTTTCCTTGAGATTGAATTGTTTTTTGTTGTTTTTTAGCAGCTGAACGTTTCTGATTGTAGTATTTTGTTGCATTAGCAAATGCAGAATAAGCTAAATCAATATCTATTGTCATGGACTTTAGTTCTGGTTCACCATCATCACTGTCTTCGTAGGGATCGCTTAAAAATAATGAAATATGATTGGTGTTTAATATTAATTTCTTTATAGCACATGCTACAGGATCTTTTTTTGCTTGTGCTTCTTTTACAAAAATATTTATATCCTCCCAAGACATTTGAGTTGCTAAAGCACTATGAATTGTTCGAATGGCATTATCAACTAACTGTTGATTTCGAGTAATCAACTCAGCTTTTTGCTTATCTATTTCTTGGACCTTCCCCAAGGAAATCAATCTTTCATTATGATCCTTTTTTACATTTTCTAACTTTTTAAAAGCTTCACGTTCTTGCTGTAAAACTTTTAAATCTAATTTCTGGCTTTCCATCGTTGAAAAATACTCATCAACTGCTTTATCAAATGATTCATATTCTTTATACGGTTGCATTTTACATTGTTCGTATAAAAATGGATGAAATTCAATATTTGTATATATAAATTCTTCACCATCATCATGTAGAGGTTTAACCTCTCTTTTTTGTATAATATATCCTTTTGATACATGTTTTGTGGCATTTTTAAGCATATCTTCTGCGATCATAAGAGCAGAATATAGTTTATCTACATCTTTTTCTATGTCAAATTCCTCATTTAGCTTACAGCCTAATGGAAAATTATTTTGTGCAAGAACATGATCTATAATAGCAGCACCTACTTCTAAATGTGGATTTAAAATCTTTTTTAAATTTTCTCCTTGTTTTGCTTTTTTAATAATATCTTGAAGTTCGTTTAGTGTTGGTATCATCTTTGTATGAGCTCTGTAGATTGGATACTTTTCATTAACAGCCAATCTAATTTACAAAAAATTGGAGTATTATTATTATTTTATGTACATATATACACATAATTATAATTATGAAATAAATGGGCTTTCAATCAAAATAATGAACGCATAAAAATATTGAAAAAAATAATAAAGAAACATTTAACACTATTTTATGCAAAATTACATTGCTTTTTTCTATTTATAAATATCATTAATGTCTATTTTTTCAAAATATATTAACAAGCATTGAAATTTTAATTGATACACATTCACCTGATTTTGTCTCCTTCTACATGTGGTCTTAAAATGTTAAGTATTGTCATTTCATAATCAGTGAGTATAATATTACCACGATCGTACAATTCTAATATAATATGGTAAGCAGCTTGACTACTTCCAAATTGGAGATCTATTATTCTATCAGCACCAACTTGCCTTAAATTTTCAAGACGCTTATTTTTAAGATGTTTACGCATCTAAAAATAATGTTCTTAAAATAATTAAAAATGGTAAAAATTCATACAATTAATACAGATATTAAATATTAACAAGAAATACCTTCATTGAAAATCCTGAAGGAGCTACATTTTTTGGCCATTCAAAAGCTGTTGTATGTATACGATTACCTGACTCTAATAATAAAATGCATTTCTCTTCGCTCCTTTGTAAACGAATTAGATAAGTTTTACGATCTATGTCATAAATTTGATTAACACGCATACCAATGAGTCTACAAAAAATTATTGAAATAATATAGATTAGTTTTTGAATAATCAAAACATAAAGTGTCATAACCCTAAAGCCTTATGTACATATTTATGACTTATTAATACTCACCTTTGCAGCTCTGAAATAGAGCACACTAAATCATAGGTGTTAAATCGATTTTTCATTTTTCTAGTTAACGATTATTTTCTTTCCATGTATAAATTATTACTTGGACAATTTTTATATTTGCACAAAATTACGTTTTATAGCAAATATAAGCACATGACTAACTCCCCCTAAAAACTCTAACCTTAACGCAATTAACTATATCAATATTTTGTCAATATAAATATACGAATCATTTCACTTTTAATTGATTTGAATCGTTGATATTAAGTGAATACAAATGCAATCAATATTTTTTTCTCATATTACATTAATTATTATAAGTACAGTATGGGTACAATTAATTTCAAATAAATCCAAAAAGATAGATTTAAATCTTTATTCAATAAAATTGAAAGTAATGTATAAGTATTTATATTTAACGATAAGATTTTTGATATCGTGCACGTGCTCCTGGACCACCAAACTTCTTTGGTTCACATCTTCTAGGATCAGCAACTAAAAGTGTTCGATCATATTGAATAAGAATATCTTTAACTTCTTTTTTACTGGCTTCATCAACATCTACAAAATTTATTAAATTAATATACATATTAAATTAAGATATATTTGCAAAATTAATATTACAATAAAAACCCAGACTTAATTTGCTATATTTAATAGATAAATAATAATTAACTATGAACCGACAAACTATATATCTTTTATATAAGTTGCAACAAATTTAATCTGGAATCTTATGTACACTACTGAAATTATTACATTTTTGGTAATATGCCACAAGGGCTTTTGAAATAGCTTGTCTTATGGCATATATCTGCGCAACATGTCCTCCACCATTCACTCTAACTCTGATATCAACTTCTGAGAATTTTTCCTATGCAAAAAAAGGTCCACTTTAGATTAATGAATTATGAACAAAAACACTTTTGTAATTTTACTAGTAAATAACTTACCTTGCCAAGAAGTAATATTGGCTCTTGAAGTTTGTATTGAAGAACTCTTGGTTCAACTAATTCCAAGGGGCGTCCATTTACTCGTAAAATTCCACGACCCCGCTTACAATAAGCAACGGCTGTAGCACTTTTCTAACAAAGTAAAACATTACATTAAATACTAAAAATGATACCAAAAAAAATTATATCTCGAAGATACTAAATATATCCAAAAACATAACCTTACAATATTCGTTAACTTACTTTACGTCCGAATACCTGGACAGAATGGATCTGCTGCTTATGTTTCTGATAAAATTATTAAAAATATAAGAAAATATTAAAAAGTAATTATTAAAATGATAAATTAATTCATGTAAAACTAATGAAATAAAAACGTACCTTCTGCATTTTGACAAAGCACGTCGTAAAAAGGAAGTTGGCTTAGTACTAATTCCTATTTCTTAATTTCAGCATGAAATGTTCCAATTCAAACAATCAAGTGTATCTCTATTGCTTTTTAAATCACAGGTGGAATCAGGGAATTTGAATTATGAAATACAATGTAAGTCACAAACAACCTAACAAGCATCCGGTTCATTCCATGAAATTCATTCGAATACTACTTGGTACAAGTACACAACTGTAATAACAACTTTTAAAATTCATTTCTGTATAATTTTTTAAAATCCAATATTTATATTATCTCTTATGAGATTCTTATATAAAAATTATATTTAATTTTTAACTTAAATAATATTTCTTTATATGGTCAACGGAAATACCATTTTTTAAATTATCATTTTAACCTAACTATTAATTATTTAATGAACAAGAATATGAATAAAAATAAAAGTTCTGATAAATATTTTGAAAGTTATGAAGATCTGAATGTAAGTATATTATTGATGAAATTATTTAATAAATATACTTTTATAAAGCTTAATTTTTTAGATACACCATCAAATGTTAAATGATACGTCAAGAACTGTCGCTTATAAAAATGCAATATTTAACATGAAAAGTAGTTTTGTCGATAAAATAGTTATGGATGTAGGAGCTGGAACAGGTAAGATATATTGTTTTTTCCATAAAAAATTATTTATTGTATCAAATAAATATTTTTAATGCTTACATTTTTAGGTATATTATCGATTTTTAGTGCCCAAGCTGGTGCTAAAAAGATATATGCAATTGAGGCAAGTAATTTAGCTAATTTAATTTCACAAGTAGCTGAAGAAAATAATGTTAAAGATAAAATAGAAATTATAAAAAAACCAGTTGAAGATATAAATTCAAATGACATACAAAAAGTAGATATTATTGTATCAGAATGGATGGGATTTTATTTGGTTCATGAAGGGATGTTAAATTCTGTTATAATTGCAAGAGATAAATTTTTAAAACCCAATGGATTGATGTTCCCATCTATAGCCAAAATATATGCTGCTCCATGTCAATTACCAAGTTACAATGATTTTTGGGATGATATTTGTGGAGTAAGCATGAAGTGAGAACTTTTTTCCATTATAAAAAAAAAAATATAATTGAGTAATATAAATGGTTGTTAATATTTTTTATATTATAGATGCATTGCTCAAAATTATAGACAGACAAAATCATTAAAACCAGAGATATTATATGTACCTAAAAAAGATATTTTAGTAGAAGATAAATTACTTATTTGGCTTGATTTAAATAATACAACTTTAGAAGAATTAAATTCTCTTGGAGGAGAACAAACTGTATTAGTATGTTCTAAAAATGGTAAATATCAAGGATTCTGTATTTGGTTTGATGTTGAATTTCCGGATGGCTCCTTGCTATCAACTTCTTCTAAGGTAGAACCAACTCATTGGAAACAAACTGTGATTGTTTTACCACATTCCATACACTTAAATAAAAAAGACCCTGTTGCCTTTACACTTAATATTAATAAAAGTAGTTCAAATCCTAGATGGTATAATATTATATTTACAATGCTTGATGCTACTGAAGTTCCCCATGATATACCATGCGATTGTTATATGTCTAGATGTATTATTACAAAAACATATATGGAAAACCAAGGTAAAGAAATATAACGAACATAAAAATGAAATTTTAAAGTTATATATTATTTATCAGAATATAATAAATTATATATTAATTTATTACTTGGCTTTGTTTTGTAATTTAAAAATAATACCTTCCACAATTGCTTTTTTTCCAACTTCAGAAAATAATAAATTAGACATATGACTCTAAATAATAAAATAATAACAAATAATTAGCCAACCATTTAAATACATGTAAATTATTCATCTCACCTTTGCTGATTTATCATCTGAATGCATATATCCTATTATCATATTATTAGTCGAATGACTCCAAAGAAAGTCTCCACAGTCATCTTTGCAGGAGTATCTTATGGCAATTACACCACCAAATTTTTCAGTAAGACCCTGTAGCAATCTAGAATCTTATATATTAAAACTATATTTTAAAGTTTTTCATACATATTGATATTTAGTTAAGAAATATCTTACTGATAAAATTTGATTGCATTGCACCATATAAACTTGTAGTTGGACATTTAGTCTCTATGATTGACTCTGCAATTGTACGAGCCAATGTAGTTCGTACAAGATGTTCTCCACATCCTGATGTACTAGATCCAACTGAAATAGTTCCTTTACTAGCCCAAGTACCACAACCCCAAATTGCAGCCTATAAAATATAATATGATGTCATTTAATTTTAATATTTTGATATAAAAAAAAATTTTTTAAATTATATATATTTTTTTCATTTTTCCTCTATATTCAATAATAATAAATTCATATTTTATAATATTAATTATTTTATTAAACTGTCAAATATATATACAATAATAGATTTTTACAAATCAATTATTGGATGTTTTGCATTTTCCCAAACAAATAATGTTTTTATTACTTGTCCAACTCGTCCTGGATATTTTAAAATAATTCCTCCACTTGAACATGCAGATGCAATATTACCAAACTGATCAACACATACAGCACCAACTGTATCCATTCGTTTTTTTAATTGCTAGAACATACTGTTGTTAAAAAGAATGATCCATAGATAATCATGTAATTGTATGATATACCTGGTTGATATCATCGACATCAGTTTTAACCTTCCTTTTATAGTGTTTATATATTTTTTGAGCTTTTACTAAAAAATTATTTATCTATTAAAAAAATTTTACTATTATATGTCTATATCTTTTTTTACCTGATATTAAATTTTCAGGAGGTATGCATGGAATTCCCATTTCCTTGGCCCAAGTAAAGGCACCTGTGCCTACTAAGAAACTAATATACTAATTTGTAACAATGCATTTATAATGTATATAGAACTTGACAATATATAATATAAATTATATAAGTACTTAGGAGGTACTCTGCCATGCCCTATATTAACTGTTTGAAAATGACATAAATATTTTGCTACTTCAATAGGATTTTTGACACCCGTAATTGCTCCAACTGCTCCATATTGCAAATTTGATCCATCCATGACACTAGCATCGCATTCTACATTTCCATCGTAAGTCAAATTTGATCCATATCCAGCATTAGTCAATGGAGAATTTTCCAAAACAATAACTGCATTTACAACTGCTTCAAGTGTACTATTAGATAACCTTAAAGATTCCATTCCCTGTACATAATTAATTTAACCAATTTTATATTCTTCTAATTTAAACAATATCCATAAAATTAAAAACATTACCTTCTCACATGCTTTTTGACTTAATATTTTATATTTATCTTTTAACGCATTAGAATGTTGACCCGCTCCTTGTTTTTAGAAAATATGATTATATATTATAAAATGCTTATTAATTTTTATTGAATAAAATTATTTACCCAAATGCACAGCAATAAATCCACTACTTGACTTATCCATTAATAATTTTAATATTAAAAAATTCACATATAATTTACAAAAAAAATTTTTTTTTTTTTATATCAATAATCAATAATCATGTATTGATTATCAATAAATAAACGACAAAGGAAACTTCTCAAACCGTAATAATTGTAATTTGTAAAACTACTGTTTCTGCATAGCAGAACATATTCTCATGCATACAAAGCTGCATTTCTACATGACGTATCCTGAAAACTCATGAATTCTAATACATCATTTCACAGATATTTATAATATATTGAGATAAGGTATTGTTATTTTTTTTAGAAATAATTAATTTCAAAAAAAGTTTAATTATATCGAATGTTACGAATTCTCTCTCGTGCTCAAATTGTAAAAAAAATTAAGATATTCGTATTTTTCATACGTTTATAAAACAATAATCAGTATCGAACAAATTTTTTAAATAAATTTTGAATAATTCTGCATTATATTTCTGATTATGAAGATATTTTTATTTTATTTTGATTTCATTTATTTATAAAATTGATTAAAAAATTTCTTTTCTCGTATAGTAGCTGCGCATGCTTCGTAAAGTAAATTTGCACTGTATTATTTAAGAGAGGACGCTGGGGTTTAAACACGAAATATAACAAATTTACAGTTGTTATTACTTAGATTAATTAGAAATTCTCTTACTATGAAACTTATTATTTACATAAAATAATTATAATTAATTTTTGCAGAAAAACAAAAATTCAATATAATAATTCCGAATAATTCAAATATCTTAAATTTATCATATTTAATCCGTATAAAATTATTTAATATACAAATATCTCAAGTAAATGAAATATTTACGCATTACAATTTCGATATATGTAGATGTCCGAAAGACTTTTTATAACAAATAATAATTATATAATTTTTATTTCTGAAAATATTTCAGTCTTTCTTTTTAATCTTAACCATTACGATATTTATTTTTATTGGTAATTTTATATTTGCATAATTCTAATACAAAAACATAATTTTTGTATTAAATTAATTAAACGCGTTATAAATATATTCCTAATTTATATTATATTTATATTATATTATTGATTATAAATTACATATATATATATATATATATATTATTTTATGCATAACAAATTTAGATATAAAATGTATTTAAAATTGTATTTTATATTGATATATAAATATTGGAAAATTTAAGTTTTATTAAATTACAACATTAAGGATTTTTTAATAAATGAAATATGAAAATTAATGTGAAATCATTTTTATTTATTTATCTTAAAATAAAATAGATATTCTGTACATCTAAAAGATATTACATTTGTATTAAACTTAGATAACCCATAAATGCATATATACAGATAGAAAGATGAGTATATAGATAAATAAATGTTTTTGTTGATTATCCTTTCAATATAAACTTAGTATTATAACTCTTTATTTACACAATATAAATTACGAAGAGTTTATAATAAATTATTAGTTCAAATAATTTTTATCAAAAATCGATGATAATCAGCTGAGGAATGCTTTATTACAATAAAAAAATCTTATTAATATGTTTAATATTTTGAGTTAGAAGAGTATAAATAAAAGACCTTTCAACGTTTGTTATTGGAAAATTTTAATTTAAATACATGATTTTTATGCAGTGGCTTTTTCTTCTAATTTTATATATTAAATTATTATATATATATTAATTAATGTTTTATTTTTGTTCGTATCGTTAGATTAGTTATAATATCATTTATGACTAACTAATTTTAATAATACAATTATTCTAGTCAAGTATTTGTAATGAATGAAAATTTATACTATAGGATAGAGGATAAAATTATGACTATCCATACGAAATATATAAAATTCTTGAAATTGGTTTTCAAAAAATAATTTTAAATTAATATTAAACTAATATTTTTACGAATGGCCGTCTTAATTATTATAAGCTATTGCCGAGGGATTTAAAAAAATTTATATAATTTTCAATATAACTAGTCTTGTATAAACATTGAATAGACATACATGCTTACCTTGGTCACTCAATATTCGGACATGCATATGCACCTTCGTGTAAGAGATGAAGAAGCTTCAGAACCTTTAGTTCAATGGAAGAACGAAAAAGGGAGAAAGATAATTAATGATCAGCTTTCTTGCATAAGCGAACAAACTAATGAACGACGATGGCACTAGTTACAGCTGATACTATACTTTGCGTGAAAACAATGCGTTTCCTCATTCGCGACCGTTACTTGTCGGAAAATAGCTTTCATTCTCCGCGTGATGCATCGCGAGTATTTAGCTGAAGGCCTCTTAAGAACCGGTCAAGTAGAAGTAAAAAAGATTGATACATCCGTTGCAACTGATTTTTCGTAAATACCCAGAGCAGATACGATGCATGCGCTGTATTTTTAACAATGTGTTGAAGTTCTATTATATACGTAATTGAAAGTATTATAGACCAATTTCATTCGCATGTTGTAAATTATTGAAAATGAAGTTTGGCTTTAAAATTTGATTTATGCAAGTATAAGATTTTATTTTATACATTTGTTTACCTTATATTTTTGCATATTAAAAAGTATCTTTAATCGAATAGCGGATTTTTTAAATCAAATGATTTTTAATTGAATATTATTTTTAATTGATTATTGTAATAATAGGTTTAATATAATTATAATTTCATTAATTTTAAATTTATTAAAAGCAATTAAGTAATTAATGCAAGGAAATAATTTTAAAATGGATATAATTTAAAATCGGCCTATTACCTATATTATACAAAATTATATATATTTAAGACTAAGAAAAATATTATAAATACTAAAAATATCTATGATTTTAAGTTTTAATTACTTCATCATACATAAATTACTTTTATTTTTATTAAAATCAAAATTACTTTACAATCGTATAAAAACTTATTAATAAAAGATACAGATATATACAATTTAATGAATGTGATTAATTTTGACTTATTTGTGAAGGGTTCGAAAATTCTATGATTTTATTTAATTTACATGCACAATTTCGGTTCTTTATATCGAAAACGATACGCACTTAGTCACTTAGGGCACTCGCTAAATACCGTTACAAAAGGAACTAATTCTTATTTCCGATAACCATTAAAGTACAAAACCAAATATGGATTACTGTATTTTCTAAGTAGAGTCGAAAATATTTTGTGTCTAAAATGGATTATCAAATAAAGAATATTAAAATAAATAAAAATAATCGAAACTCACGAGCATGCCCATGATCAGACAAAACCTTTTCTGCTCGTTCTTTTCTTGTACATTGCATAATGTACATCTTTTATTTTACACACTAATATATCTTATTGTTTCATATTTTCTTAAAAGTCTTATCATATCTTTTATTTATTTTAAAACTGTTGTTTGCAATTAAATTTTAACTTACGAAATGTTATCAATGTATTTGTGTGTGCGTGCGTGTGCGTGTGCGTGTGCGTGTGTGCGTGTGCGCGCGCGCGCGCGCGCGTGTGTGTGTGTGTGTGTGTGTGTGTGTTATTAATATGGAATGTTAATGTAATTTTGAAATGATTTTAGTATATTAAAGATCATAACAAAAAGTTTATTAAATAAATCAATATATAATGTAATTGACTGAACAATTTTTCGTTTTATAATAAGAATTTTAGTTAGATTTTATTAAATACACACACATACGTGCACGTACACACGCGCACTAATAATATTGATAGAGAAAAAAAGAGAGTTCATGAATACTTCCTTTGAATCTCATTTTGATTTCTTGATATTTGATAGAAATTATAGAGATGGCATTTCAAATAAATTAATAGGTCGATATTAGAATTATATTAATAAAAATTATTGTACGTTTTACGTAGAAGAAAATAATCTTAAATTTGTTAAAATTTAAAGTAGCTAAAATAAAAAATTCTTTTAATTAATAATGCATTATATCGTATATTTTCATATCGTAATTTCTCCTACTAGTACCCCTAAAATATTAATTCCTTAGTTAATCTTTTGGAAATATATGTTTATCACTATATTGAGTAGACCATAATTACTTACTTCTTTCATAACGAACTTTGATTTCGTTTATTATATTAATAAAATTATATTTCATTGATATAAAAAATTATATTAATAATTTTACTTCTTTTATAGATATTTATTTGAAAAATATAACTCTTTGAATGTAAAAATATGAAAATAGTGATAAATATGCCATTTTCATTGATATCGCATTTGATTTTTTATAATCTTTTATTCTTATTTAAAATATTTTTAGAAATTGGTTTGATTTTTAAAATAAGTTATATACGAGGAAATGCAAAATACGTAAGTGCCAAAACTGGGATACTTGTACTTTGTACTTCGGCATTTATATCTTTAATTTCATTAAAATAATTTTAAGCGATATAATAAATTATAACATCTTAAAATATTTTATTATTCTTCTTTAGGATATTCTATTGAAAAAATGTAAAACAGAATAAAACATAAAACAAGAAATAAAATATATGTATCAAACAACTATATATTGTTATTAAAATGTTCATCTATCTAAAGATGTAAACACTGTTAACGAATAAAATACACTATATAAACATATCCAATTTTATTTTTTTATTATATAATTTACTTATTACTGTATGTTAAAACATTTAAATTTAAAATTCAAATTAAAGTAAGTACAATCATTTTTTGTTAACCAGAGTATGAAATCTAATTTATCCTTTTGTAATAAATTATATATATCTTTTTTTTTGATATATTAATTTAAATCTAGTCGTATTTTTAGAATGTAAATGCATTTTTTTTTAATAAATAAGTTATTAATAAATTATACAATATTATAAATAAATAAATATTCTTAATTACATATGAATGTTAATTTTTTTTTATTTAGATACAGTTACTTCT